GGAGTGAGGTGATACCACATTGTAGTTTTGATTTGTATTTCCCTGATGATGAGTGATGTTGAGCATCTTTTCATATGTCTGTTAGCCAGCTGTATGTCTTCTTTGGAAAATGTGTATTTATGTCTTCTGCACATTTTTAAAGTGCATTATTTATTTTTTGGGTGTTGAATCTTATAAGTTCTTTATATATTTTATAAACTAATCCTTTATCAGATATGTCATTTGCAAATATCTTCTCCCATTCCAGTTGCCTCGCTGCGTTTGAGGAAGCATAGAAGACATCAGGGAGACCCTTACATGGTATTATTTTTAAATAATCAAGAACTTTGTCTGATTTGGCATGGGAGGGTAACATTTTAGAAAGAGCTGTTAAACATTTCTGCTGGCTCAATCTTGTTCATCGGAGATAACAGCTAAACCAGAGTATCTTCAGGCAACCAGTGTCAGGGCTATGATGCATATGGCAAAGACTCCCAGGTATACTGCATGGTCTGTATTTCCACAGAGACTGGAGGAGGAGTGGTCAGACCAGCTGGCTCACTTCATGCAAACTTCAACCATTTTGGATATTATTTGCAATAGGAGCATAAGATACAAATGGACAGCGGTAATTCAACAAAAACTTTCCACTGGCTTCTGCATTATACTTACAATAAAATCTATATCGCCTACAATGGCCTTCAGGCCTACATCCAAGTCTCATATCTCTCTCAACATAACATGCATCATCCTTCTTAATGTCTAAATCCTCCTCATCTCCTTTGTTTCCTCAAACATAATAAGCTTATTCTAGAGATTTCATATATCAATTCACTGTTTTGGGAAAGACTTTCCTCCAATTTTGACAAGTCTGTTTCCTTTTGATTAGGTTTTCTGTCCAAATATCACCTAATAATTAAGTCATTGCTAACCACCTCTTCTAAATAACCAATGTCCTAGTACAGCAACTTGTTTTAGTTTTTCTTCATAGCACTTTTCACTATCTGCAATAATTTGTTTATGGATTTGTTTACTTATTCATTTTCTGTTTTTCTTGATTTCATAGGAATGGAAACTTCTTGAACACTGAATCAATGAAAAAATGATGGTCTAAAATCAGAGCAATTGGGGGCACTTGATAGCATCTGACACTTTAGTAACAGATCATGTATTTTCAGTGTATCATGTTCATTCCAGTAACAAAGACGGCCTAACATAGCACAAAAAGTATAGACTCTAAAGAGAAAAAAGTCTGCAATTTAAATCCTGGTTTTACTACTTATTATCTAGGTAAATTTGTATAAGTTTCCCATTAAGTGAAGATGATACCATGGAACAAATTGGTTTATTAAATAATCCACATAACTCACCTAGCATTATGACTGACTAAATATGTTCTAAAAAATTGATATGTATTACAGCTGTTATTATCTTTTATTTTAAGTGGCAAATTATTTCCTCCTATTCTTTGCTGTTCTGGAGAAAACTCTATAATAGAATGGAATCCATTGTTCTTCTTGTATAGCATCCTTACTTTGCACTTTTTGTGACAATCTATTGATCTTCTGTGGTGCTAAGCCTACCCAAGAATAGGCACATGACTTAGGTCTGGCTAATGCGTGCCTCCTCAGGTCCTTTGCTGGAACTCTTCATGGAGGAGTATTGGGGGTAGACACCTTCTCTTCTTTGAATGCAACACTGGTCTTCATTGACCATCTTTACCCATATTTAAAACAACCTTGCCTAATAATGAAGCCCACACAGAGGAAAGAAGTACCAAGGGACAGGGAAAGAGATTTTTGATGACCATACCCTTGGAACCAGCGGTGCCTAATGCAGCCACACCCCCTGGATATACTTGTTATATATGCCAATCCATTATTTTGTTTATGTCAGTTTGAGTTTGGATTCCGAAACTTGAAATCTAAAGAAAGTTTTCTAATAAAACACTAGTTTACTTATGTTTGTTAGTTTATTGTAAGGCTAAGGGGTTAAAAAATGCCTTTTCTGAGGTCTAATTAGCAAATAAACAAATTAACATCCAGAACGAAATGTTTCAGTGAAAGTGTTAAAAAGGCTCTGGGCTACAAGGAGCTAGAGACACCAGAGGGCTATTTTTCTACAATGGACAGTAAGAGCCCCTTTAAAGAAATGGTCAGTGTTGGCCTGTGGCTCCCCAAACCAAGAACAGATTGCCTAAAAGCAATTTCAGAGTATTTGTGGTTACAAATAACAGGAAAAAATTAAGGAAGAAATTAACACCCTTCTTCAAGAAATAAGCAGGAAGAGAAGGCATTACTCGAAGTAAAGAGGAAAATAATTGTCTTCCTGTGCAAAGGAAATTAAATATGCAACAAGTAGGATATAGAGTAGCTAATTACTGACAAGGGTACTAATTTGTATTGAGGGGTTTATGTGCTTTTCAAAATATTTTCTCCAGAAAAGATAGATTAAAATGTTTTCTTATGTGAAGAAGATAGCAGGCATTAATATACATGCTGTTTTTCTTATTAAAGAATTTTAAACATCTTATCAGGTATCTGTTGTATATCAGTATCTATTACATTTCTGTTTTTTAAAAAATACCCTAGGGTGTGAATACATCCCCATTTCTCTCTGCTCGTTATACCTAAATAATTTAAAGCAACTACACTTACATTTTAGAGAACTTCTTATGCAAAATACTTTGATAGACACCATAGGAAACACCAAGAAAAAAGTATCCCTCATTTTTTTTTCAAGTATTCCTCATCTTAAGGAGCTTATCACAGAATAAAGATGATGAGAAATCTGTACACATAATTGTATCATCAGGGAGAAAAGCTGAATTTAGTAGTAGTCATAAATGAAGTAAAATAAAAGACTGACAGAATGATCAGACATTCATTTAGCCTAGGGCAGTGGTTCTGAAACTTGAGTGTGCATGAGCACTACCCCAAAGGCTTGTTACAGATTGCTGGGCCCACTTCGAACTCCAGGATCTAGGGAATTGGTTTGCAATTCTAGCCACACATCATAATCTCCTAAGGGACTTCCACAGAGTTTAATGCCCAGGTCTCATCCCAGCCCAATAATGAAAGAAAAATAGTTTATGAAGAAAAGTATACTAGAGCTGGACATTGAATTATATGAATAGTAGTTTTATAAACAGCTGGAGATAGAGGACACAGATGCTAGGTGGATGGTGAAAAGTAATAGTGGAAGGAAACTATGGTGCATGATTGGAAATGAGAGTACAGCATGGCTGGAGCATAGATGGAGAAAAGAAATCTCGGATCAAGTCATGGAAGACCCTTTAAAAAAAAAAAGATTGATTTATTTATTTCAGAGAGTGTGAAAGTGTGAGTAGCGGGAGGAGCAAGGGAGAGGGAGACAAGCAAACTCCCCACTGAGTGATGGTGGGTTCCATCCCAGGACCCTAAAATCATGACCTGAGCTCAAATCAAGAGCCAGAGCTACCCAGGCACCCCAAGTCATGAAAGATCCTGACCGCCATGCTTAAGGAGGCTGTGACTCCTTTATGGGGCAATAAGAAATCACCAAGTCTTTTGAGCAAGAGAGTAACATAGTAAGATGTGACTTAAAATTATTATCTGGAAGCAAATTCCTGAGTAGATTAAAGTACCACAGGGTCTTAGAGACAGGAGATGGTTAGGATGTGATAGCAATGGTTTAGAACTATTCCTCAAACTGGACTCAAGAGGTGTCCTTAGGGCACGCGTGTTCTATACAAATGTTTTAGTTTTGTATCTTTATTTCAAAGAGTATTTGATCAGTTACAAAGACCAAACTTGTCTTTTGTGATGACAGTCCTCAGTTGAAGATTTTCACAAGACGGAGCTTCAGCTTCTTCAGTGTTTTCTTTCAGTGGACACAGTAATAATTCAAGATTAACTTTTTTGTTTTTCCCTGTTGGGAGTCAGTACCTTGTATAGTAAACCTTTGAGAAATAGTGATCTGGACAAAGTAATAAAATGGGGGCAGTCCAAGGAACATTTTATTCAGATTCATCAGGATTTCCAAAGACATTTTAGGAGGAAGACAAAATGGGAAATCAAAAAGATATTGGGGGCTTTAAGGCTGAGAGCTTCACTGGTGATAAAATGATAGAAGAGAATAGGCATCTAAAAAAAAGGGACAGGTTTGTGTGAGGCAGGGGGAGAAAGACAAAGCATTTATAGTGAAAGAAATCCTACCAATTGGTCATTACTCCGAGAACCAGCTCCTTCCCATATCCGGAATTTTAGGACTTAATTTATCTTCAGAATTTAGCCATATAGTAGACAAAACCAAAAAATGTCACGATAGTTTTTAATTACTAAAGCATAAGGTAGAACAAGAACATTTTTCTTCTAAAAATAAAAGCTATAATCTGAAAGTAACTTAAAAAGATGACCGTTGCATAAAATAATTCATAAGGTAGGAGGGAGTTATAAATGCTAATAATTTGTTGAAGACTAAAGCTTTGAATTATAACACACTTCCCTTTCACTTACTGTGGTTTATTTTCCCTGCCATGGGTCATTTTCTCAGTGACTATTTTTAGAGGGGAAAAACAGCAAAATCCAAACATTAATATATATATTTGAAAGTAGATATTTTTCCAATACCAAGTACATGCTGTGTCATATTTTCTGTGTTAACCATATTCTTCTCTCTGTCAGGGTGCCAGGTGTTTAATGGTTATAAACCTATTTATTTACCCTTAATCCACTGGAACCTCCTAAGGGACACAGCTATAAAATATCAGTGCTTTCCCCTCCCCTGGAAATGGCCTAATAAATAACTTTTGATCTTCTTCAGCAATTAAGACAATAGCATGAAAACTTTCCAAATATTTTTTTCTTTTTAAAAAGTGTAGCCATTATAATATTTAAAATACTAAACCCTAAATAAAAATACTTTATATCAAAAAAAGTATCACCATCAATCATTTAATAATGAGTATGTCAAAAACACAATTCATCTTCTTCTATCAAAATATGAACACTTACTGGTTTAAAAAATTAACAATTCCATACCTGAGCTTCTGGTTGTATTGTTTGACTTTTTCCAGTGAGGCTGCATTTATCTGGGCTTGAAATTCTTCCACCGAAACATTATCTCTATAATAATATCCTTCCATGCTCTCCAGTGCTGTGTAAACAAGTAAAAAAGTTCTCCTTCATGTGATTTCATAACTCAATTTCTCTATATTTAGTGTAATCTTAATGATTACTAGTAAATGTATTTAAAACACTGAATATGACCACACATGCAGGAATCTATCTCTCACCAGTCCAAAAAGGAATGAAAATCATTCCTCTCCTCTCAAAATATCAAACACTCGGTGATTATATCTGAGTAGGCAACAGTAATTTTTAATTTAAACTGGCTTCTATTTTTAAAACATTTTATATAAAAAAAATTTATATTCAGTTTGTGAAGCTGACCTCAAATTTCACATATTTTTACATGTATATGTAAAATATGCATTTATACATATTTCACATGTATATGTGTATATACATATATATGTATACATATATGGGAAGCAGAATTGTGTGTTAACATACATAAGAGTAAAAAAGTTGAAATCACTGCTCTCCATGTATACTCACATTCTTTTGTAGCTGCAATTAAATTATGAAATATTAGTGTAATAAATTTGAAGTATAGATAATCTTAGAATACTACCTTTATTACAATACTTAATCTAGTTAAAATAAGTAAGTATAATCATATATATAACTTCCCATTAATTTTAAACATCTTTGATTAAAATTGATTTCCTTTCTGCAGCATCTGGGTGGCTCAGCGGTTGAGCATCTGTCTTTGGCTCATGTTGTGATCCTAGGGTCCTGTATCAGGCTCCCCGTAGGAAGCCTGCTTCTCCCTCTGCCTATGTCTTTGCCTCTCTCTGTATGTCTCTCATGAATACATTTTTTTAAAAAATTAAAAAAAAATAAAACAGATTTCCTCTTAACTAACATTTTTGGTTAAGTATTTCTTTATATTTAAACTTTATACAATGGTACTTTTAACTTTTGGAGAGGAAACAAATCACATGGAAGTACTTAGAAATACAAGATCTCCTATGGAGAGGTTGCCAGCAACAGGAATGGCAATGGATCCAATGTGGAAATGTAAATTATTTCCCTTTGAAATTATTGCCACTCTTAAGCCTCCATTTTCAGCAGACTATTTCAAAATCAATTAAAAAATTAATCTTTCAAAACTGCTAAATGCAATAGCTTCTAAGCTAATAGGTTTCTTCAAATTGACAAAAACATCACCATTTTGGTGGCAAAATAGAAAAGTCATTACTATTTTTTTCATTGCTATTTTTTAAAAATATTTCAAATTTTTATTTAAATTCCAGTTACTTAACATACAGTTTCAGGAGTAGAATTTAGTGATTCACCACTTACATATAACACCCAGTGCTCATCACAAGTTCATTACTAATATTTACTGTACTGTTTTCTAAACTAGCCAGATTGCTACAGCACTGGAGAAACAAAAAAAAGCTTTTAGAGCATTATTCAATTTGAAATAAAGATGGTATTATTGGCTTATAATTAAGAAAATCACTTATGGAAAATTAGAGAGATGCTTACTACATTTACTTCAGCACATGATATCAAATTTGTGGGTGGTTTTAAGGATTACTTGTTTACTCATTATGACTTGTGGATTAATTAGAATATTTGTAACTGGTTCAGCAAGCTTCTGGTCCTGATTACATACAAGAAATAAAAAAAGTCTTCCTGATAAAAAGAATCCTCAAGTAAATGCCACATTCATTTCCATTAATGAGATGTTATTTGTGAGAGGCAAATATTCAGAGGATTCAGTCTATCAATAGTCATCCTTCAATGTGAATTCCTCTTACTGGTTGTAAAGCTAATAATGAAAGTCCTTGTGTGGGAGTAAAACTACTACTTCCACTCCTTAGTAGTTGTATGACCTTAGGCATGTTCATTAAAATCCAAGATGCTCAGGTTCCTCATTTGTGAAATGGAAAATAAGAGCACCTACTAATTATGATTCTTGGGAAATAATTAAATCAAATAAAGTATTAAGAGACCCATGACTTTTTTTTTTTACTGAATGTGTTTTACATATTAGGCAACATGTCCAATGCCGGTAGGCATTAATCTAATTCAATTTCTAGGAATACAGATTATGCAGAAGTGTGCTTAGCCAAACAGGATGTTCTGGGAAATAAAGATGTCCATGAAAAGACACTTCAATTTGTAATTGAAGATCAGAAAGACTGGAAGGAGAACACTAGGAAGGAGCCACAGGGAAACTGGGGGTGAGGAGTGGGGTGGGGACACATACAAAGACATCTACGTTTGTTGTTGTTTTTTTATTATTATTATTTACGATAGTCACAGAGAGACAGAGAGAGAGGCAGAGACACAGGCAGATGGAGAAGCAGGCTCCATGCACCGGGAGCCCGACGTGGGATTCGATCCTGGGTCTCCAGGATCGCGCCCTGGGCCAAAGGCAGGCGCTAAACCGCTGCGCCACCCAGGGATCCCGACATCTACGTTTTTATAAAATGTTTATTAAAGTATTTCTTTAATTTTTATAAAAGTCTTGATAGCTCAGTTTTGGCCAAAACATCCAGTACTGCTCTAAAAGCTTGCTGCCACATAAAAACAAACTGGTATTTTTATGACAGTCCTTGACAATATTTCCAAATTAGCAACAGTTAAAATCCACAATTATGTGGAAATTTTTTAAATGGGGAAAATGTCTAATAATCAGCAGAATGTTAAGGCACATATGTAGGGTTATGAGGAAATGAATAAAAACAACAAAAAAGACAAGTTCTGTGTTTAGAAAGTACACTCCATGGCAAAGAAGAGGAAAGCACAACATTCCTGACTTTAGATGAATAGCTTGGTTATTTATCATTAAAATACAAGAAAATAGAATAATTTTTACCAGATTTAATTTCTATACTGAGCAAAAGTAGGTTAAATATATATAAAATGCCCAAACTTCCAAGTTTGTCCTCTTCTCAGCATTTTCTTGTCTAGTTTCCTTAATTCTCATCCAGATAACAATGTTTCTTAAAAGTCGTACTGACATATTTGGTTGCATGAATATTTAATAGCATTTAATTAAAGGCAGTATTGAAAATACGATGACTTTCTTGTTTGCTTATTTTCCTTCTATAATTTCTGAATTTGAGGAAGCAAATCATCCCATCAAACTTAGTCAGCAAAAAAGAAAAACATAATGAGTATTAGAGAAAAGTGAAGATTAAATTATTTTAAGACTGAAAATGAGCTGCATTTCCACTCACTCAAAATACCTTTCAAGACTTTTCCAGAAAAGGGACTGATCAGGAAAAATACAGAACATCTGAAGAACGATTTCATGAAATAGTTCCAATCAAGTAAGGCTCTTTCCTGATAGCACGAAGACACTTTAATGGTTAAATAAAACAAGATATCTGCACTGGTCAAGGTTAGTTAAAATTCTTCGGAACTGGTCACAATTTCCATGAGGAAAGCAGTTTAATCAATCACAGTAGGACCAGTATGCATCGCTTCTCAGCCTTTTGGCTAAGATCAAGTCCAACAGAACCAGTATGCGAGAAAGAATGTGCAGAGGGGTGGGTTCACATGCTTATAGACTGACTCTAACATTTAGGAAATTTCAATTCTGGGAACTGCTCCTTCTTTTATAAAAATCTATTTAATATTTCAATTTCAAATACTGTGTCAAACCCAAAGGGAAAACTAAGAGGTTCATTTTTTAAAGGACCTAAAGTAGAGTTTTACAAAAACTCGAAATAAAAAAACCAAATATTTGAAGGAAGGAACCTTAGAAAATGACAGTTTATAACAAAATGTTCCCTTTTGTTTAAAAGAAAAAAAATGCCTTATGCTGGAATTTTTTTTAAATAAAAAAATAATAGAAGAGAAAAATGCTTAAGTTTCTGGTTGATTTTAATTATTCTCTGAGAATAGAAAGATAGCTTAGATAGAAGAGTTAGGATTTATAGTTTCTGGTGCCAGAAGGGCTTCATAAGGGCTGAAAAACAAATATACATGAAAGTGTGTTTGTGGAGAAAGCACCAGCATCACATGTTCCAGTTAGCGTAAGGAAAACCACTGTAAGAGACCCAGGGAACAGGTGCTTAACAATATTTTACAAAGAAAGGATACCATATTCCAGGACACAGTGTAACCAAAATCAAAGACCTTTAATGATGCCATGTCCCTAATAGGCGGAATACATGAGTCTAGGAACAAAGGGTGGAAGCAGAAAGGACCCTGTTTAACATCTATTGAGGGTGGAATGATGTCCTCCAAAACAATACAACAGAAGTCCTAACCCATGGTGACAGCAAGCATGGCCTAAATTTTACATAGGGTATTTGCAGAGACATCAGCTTATAATGAGGTTAGGCCCAAATCCAATGACCTGTGTTCTCATAAGAAGAGGGAAAGTTGCACAGAGATACAGAGAAAGACACACAGAGGGAAGATAGTCATGTGAAGACAGAAGCAGAGACTGTCATTATGCTGTCACAAGCTGAGGAATGCCAGGACTGATGGTATAGAAGGTAAGGAAGGATTCCTCTTTAGAGCCTTCCAAGGGAGCCTGGCCTTTTGGCATCTTGATTTCAGATTTCTAGCCACCAGAATGATGATAGGATAAATTTCTGTTGTTTTGAGCCACCCAGTTTCTGGTAATTTGTTATGGCAGCCCTGGAAAACTAAAATAGCATCAGTCTCAGTGCCTCAACTTGTGGATGTGTGCTTCCTAGCCCCAAAACTCTGGCTCTGTGGATTTATAAAGTCCTGATCCCCAAAGAGGTATATGCTTTCCCAAGGAGACAAGGCAGGGGTCCCACTGAACATTAGCTATGGTTGCCACTGGGGTACTGGAGACTCCTTGTGCCAAGGCACCCAGGAAGTGCAATCACTGTCTTGCCAAGGTTGGTAGATCGTAATTATCATAAGGAAGGGGGGCTATTATTAAATAGTGAGAACAGGAAGGAACATGTTTGGAACCCAGTGAATCAGGTCCCTCTTAGTACTTCCTTATCCAAATTTGATGGTAAATGGACAAATGCAGGAACCCAGGCCTGAGAAACGAAGAGTGAACAGGGGGATCAGGCCTCTAGGTCTTACTCACACCTCTGAGACTGGAAGGCACAGGCTGAGGGCAAGGCTGATCTACAAGGAATACAAAAGAGGGAAAATGAGCATCTGTTGCAGCCCCAAGACAAGCTGTAGCAGCAGGGGCCTATTGCTTGTCTTCTTCCCATGCTTCTTCTAGAAGGGACCCCATCAGAGTCTTGAAGGAGCCACTTCTAGACTTGACTTGAATGGATCTAAGGGTACAAGGTGTGGACCATGGCAGGTCACCCACTTGGATCTCCTTTCAGAAAAGATGAGCTTATTGCCTAGTTATTAGGATTCCCAGAAGATATCCCTCAGCCGTCATTAGGGCATCTTCAGTCTTTTTGGAAGAAAACTGTTCCACTCAAATCACATCACCTAGGGGCAGGCTGCATCCTAATGACTTAAAAACACAGAAGTGAAAATGCCCAGCCCCCTCGCCCTGGCTCCCCCAAATCTGGAAGTGTCAAACCTTTAAGAAACGGATTAATCTGATTAATCAAAGATTAACTGGATGATTGCACAGTGTTTCCTAATCAGGTCCACACTGACCTGTGCTTTCTCACTCCCAGCGAACCTTAGAGTCAAGGGCAAAGCTTCTAAAATATACTGGTTTCTGAGCCTTATGTCCCAGAGATTCTGATTGAATCAGTTTAATGTGGGAGCAAGCTTGGGTATTTTCTAAAACCTACTCAAAGTTGACTAATGTGCAGCTCGTATTGAGAACCACGGAAAGATGGTGTGAAAACATGCCAATGGAGAGTGGGTGGAGGAAGTGACCCTGAATATCTATCCTCCTTTCTCTCATCTTCATACAGTTTATAATTACTTGCTTTATCTTGCTAAGGACTTAAGGATCCCAACAGGGTTAATTCCCTGACCTGTAGGAAGTACAGATGCCTGCTACCGTCTGATCTTTTCCTGTCTGGCTGTTGTTGCTGTGATCTTTATGTAAATCTGTACCCCTGTTCTACCTGACGAGATTCCTGTTCTCCTGTAGGTCTGGCCTTCAGTGACACAAGTTCTCTAAAGCTTATTCTATAGGCACTGGAATTCCTGATCTTGCCGCTGGTGCCTTCTCTGCAGCGTGCCCTCCTTTGCAGAAGGATCCATTCAGGCAAGAAAAATGGGAAGAAACCAGTATGTCCTTCCTGTCCTAAGTACATGCGTCCAACAGACAGCTCTATAAGGGCTGACATAAATAATTTTTCCAAGAGGCTCTCAAATTTATCTCATTTTTCTATTTTTTTTTATTTGCCAGCAAAGATCGACGTACGTATGTACATCTAAAACTGAAACCCTTCGAGTAAACATTCAATTCTGGGATAGACACATTTTGGAGTCTCTTCATCTACCACCACTTTCAGTTACCAGCTGGTAATCTCTCGTCAAGCTAGGGCTGAATTTCCTGGGCTTCTCTCAATCTGATGAATAGGGAGAGTGACTAATAATGAATTCTCATGGAGTTTTAGGAGTGCAAAAGAACTTCCGCAACCCTGTTAAATAGCAATCTTATCACTGGCACAGTTCTAATGAGACAAGCTGTTTGCCAGTCTTCTTTCCCTATGACCTCAACAGCAGAAGCATTTCCACTGAGGCTTTTCATATTTTATTGCGGTGTGAATATTAAAACCTAATGTTAGCTATGGTTCTTCTTTACATTTTAAAAAGCAATGTGGTATTCACACTGAAATAATATATATTTAGGCATTTTTAAAAATTAGTTTTGGCCATAAGCATTTTTTAAAATTAGTTTGGGCCATAATTATAAATTAGAGGTTACATGGAAGATACTCTTCCTCTTCCTATGAACATTTGCTGCTGGGTATGAATATTCAGCTATTTATGGCTGATGTGTCACAAATGTAATAAATTTTTTGAAAAGATGCAAAATGCCATCTGTCATCTCCGTCATGATTTCAAAGGCAGAATTTTTAAAAAGAGAAATAAAGGAAAGAAAGGAAAGAATCTTTAATAACTGTAAACTCTGGTTAAACCCTATAAAAGTTAACATTCCAGACCAGCATCCTTCCGTCTTCTAAAACTATCTATCTGTGTAATGGCTTTTAACATATTTTAGGCTAACCTGTTTTCCTAACATAGCTCCAAATGTCTATTTTTGCTATTTCTTTTTTTCCATTCTTTTTCATTACAGAATCTTGTATACCTAATGGACCCTACCACAATCCTCCAAAGAAAAATGAAAATAACTTCTAATAACTCCTAAGATCTTCTCTGCAACTAACATTTCCCTCTATTTAAAGGTATTCTTACCAAGTATCTCTTTGAGGTAGTCATTGCTTTTAAACCATGGCAATTGAAGGAAGGGTAATCTATCCTTTAGAATTATAATAATATGCATATGGTACAGGAATTTTTTCACTTGGCAGTAGATTATGATTTCATATGCCTATCTGTTCTTCAGTTACAGAGATTGATTTTATTTCTCTACACTTCATTTTTATTAGAATATTAAAATTCCACAGCAAAACCAATGCAGTTCTTGAAAACTCAATGGAAGAAAAAATGAAAGGCTCTATGGAATTGCTCACAGAAATTGATATAATCTTGACACCAGCATGAGTTTAAAAAAAATAAATCACAGACCTGAAGAAGCTACAATAAAATAATCTGGACTCCTGGTCGTTTGAGGCTTGTATTTGTGACCCCAGGGAAAAAAAAAAAAAAAAAGATCCAGGATCTTCCCTTGGAAACCCAGTTCACTGCAAGAATTTTCTTACTCATGTTACACTAAATTCATTTTATTGCATTAAAACTCATTGTTCATTTATGAAAACAATTTTTTTATTTACAAAAGGAATATATTTTTATTAACCAAAAATGACATAAAGGAGGAAAACTCAAAGAATAAAAAATCATCATCAATTTAATCACCCAATGACGTTGAAAATATTTTATGTACATTTAAGTATATATGTACCTGAATTACATTAAGCATAAATTATTTTTTGTAGCCTGGATGTGCATATACCCCAATTTTTTTCTATCTCATAAAATATTTTTAACCATACAATTTTAATGACTCTCCCATAATTTATTTAAGCCAAATTAATTTATCTATTTAAACCACCCACATCTTGTTTCCCCACTATAAATACTGTTACAGTCCTATTTAATAAACATTTAAACCTTATATTATTGTTTCCATAATAAACATTCCTGGAAGTAAAAATATTACTAGGTACTACGAAGGAATTTTTGAATTAATGGAAAAAATAAAAATTCATGATGGTTACAATTACATGTATTTTAAAAAATCGATAAAGATAAAAAAAAAATTAAGTACATAAAAAGGAAAGCAGTTTACCTTGTGCAAAAAGAACAGGATGAATTTTAAACCCTCCTCCATTTTTCAAACGTTGAGGCAGTTGTTCAAAGTGATAACTATCAATGTAGAAGTAAACTTTCAGAGCCTGCCGGCTTCCCTCCGCTTGATAAGTAAGAGGAACATCTAAAATGACATTTAATGTTACATTACTTCCCCAAATCAGGATATGTTATAGAGTATATTTGTTAACTTTTTAAAAAGTCTTGATAATCCACTAGAAACTAATATATTAAAAGTACCCTTGTATGTTAAGTTCAGGTTAGGCAAACTTGCTATTCAGTGAAAGAGCATTAAATCAGATTCTCATTAGCTAAAGCAACAGATTTATTACTGTACTGTATATAAAATTCTACAATAGGAAACTTTGTTACACTTTGACACACCAGATGTCTCACTTAACTAAATGAGAAGTTTAGTTACACATGGTTTGGAATCAGAATCTCCCAGGGCATCTGCCTCATTCATATTTTAGTCAAAATGAGTCCTTGGGGTACAATTCCTAAGCAGTGTACAAGAAATTGGGTACATAGCAACCATTATCAAAATTAGCATGGGTTTTGCAAGTTCCATTCCCTGAGCACCAGATCAAAACCATATTTATTACCTCTTTTGACGCACTATAGTCATTAGAAATTGTCTATCCAAATTCTTTTCATTTTCTCAAAGATCCTAAATTTAATTACTCAAAAATAAAAAAAACAAAACCCCCAACTCCTAAAAAAAAAAAAAAAACTTGAAAATCTACAAAGCTGTAGGAGTATTTCACAGTGCAATCATAAATCCTTTTCATTTTGCAACTTATCCATGACAAATAATTTCCAATTCATTAAGAAAGAATGTAAAATCTTCCTAAAAAGCTGGAATAGTCATCTTAAGCAGTTAAAAATTAAGGTAAAAATATTATAGACATTTAATACATTTTCTTGACTTAATATCTGTTAGTTCTAACCTGTTTCTTTTCTTTTTTTTTAAGATTTTATTTATTTATTCATGAGAGACACAGAGAGAGAGAGACAGAGACATAGGCAAAGAAAGGAGCAGGCCCCATGCAGGGAAATCCCATGTGGAACTTGATTCCAGAATCCTGGGATCATGACCTGAGCCAAAGGCAGATGCTCAACTACTGAGCCACCCAGGTGCCCCTCTAACCTGCTTCTTGAATAAAATTATATGTAAAGGCAGAGTTCAAGGTTAAATACTATTAATGAATGGAGATTCCAGGTTTTTAATTAAATGAATCTAATTTTGTGTATCAATAGCAGAGATATTGTATTAACATCTACAAGTTTCTTTTATGTCATATAATAAGCACCTATTTTATTTTTGTTTCTACATTTTTAAGGGAGGCATAAAGGATTTTGGTTTAGGAAAAAGAGCATTATTTCTCAGTTGAAGACTTAGAAATTAACTGGATTTTAATGATTGGGAAAATCCTGTTTTCCCCTGGCCGTATAATAAAGAAAAAGGATGCATGAACACTAAAGAAAATACTGATGTGTATATACTAAGAATTCGGATCTTCTAGTTCTCTTTTTCATGCAATGAATTTCATTTATATTTCAAGTTTTAGAATTCCATTCCTTTATTCTTTGGCACCAATGTGGCCAATCTCTGTTATCAAGTGGATGATGGTTTTGAAAGGAAAATAACCCAGCAGTAGGAGTTCCATATTATAGGAATAACAACAAATAAAGATGCTATATCAGGAACTAAGAAGCGGAGAATGACAGAAAATTATCAAGTATATTAAATTTAAAATGAAGTTAAAACTGAGAGTGAAAGAATGAAGACTTTCTCTCAAAGTAACTGTTATGCCTATAAAAGTGCATAATAATGTAGAGCTGAAGATTGCTGCCTCTTATTTGTGGAAATTTATCTACTATGAAAAACAAACCTGATGATTAGGAATATGTAATGAGTAAAGGCATCAAAAATATTATTGCATGAGGAAAAGGTTTCTGGTTCCACTCTATAGAGGGATTGATTCTCAAGAGGAATTTCAGCAGCAGCATCCCATCCCTGTAAACATGGTCCTCCATCACTGAATGAGTTTGGAAATAAGTTTCTAAGAAGTTCTTAGTTCCCTTTGCCTGAATTGCTATTCCTTGACCCTCTGCAGGGTTGGGTCTTGCTGGTCCTTTGGATTTCAGTTTAAAAGCTATTTCTGCTAAAAGCCCTTCCCTGTTGACTCCTTAAAAAGCCACTTTACCCTCACTCTTCATATATTGCTTATTTCCTGCACTGGATTTATCATGGCCCTAACCATCTTTGCTGTTGATTCTTTCTTTGTTTTCTTCCAAATAGGCTGTGAGCTCCATCATGATTGGGACATGTCTGTCCTATTCACCATGGCATCCACAGTCCCAGGTGCAATGGAAAGAGTGGAAGCTCAAAAATATCCATTCTCCTAATCACTATAGTAAAATTACCTGTATCACCATAAAAGGTGTGTGTGTGTGTGGGGGGGAGATCTGCTATCATTCTTCTCCAAAAACATGAAGATTTTCTATAAAATATATTGTTTTATACAGCCTAATCATTTAGCTCACTTATTCCTCCTTCACTAATTACATAATATGGCATAGGAAGGATCCCATACTTCCCCTGTACTGTACTGGGGACATTCCCCCTCTATCCCTTTGTGTCTCTCACTAGTTTCTAAGCTGCATGCCAACAGGGTCCTTATTTTATTTAGTCACTCCTGTATCTCCAGAATTTAGTTCAGCATTTGGTATGGTGTATATACTTAATAATTATTTTTTCAAGGAAAATAAAATGTCTTCAATCAAGACATTTGAGTTCTACGTGCTTGGCATGCCATATTTCTTCAGAATCTCATTATTCTTTAATGCAAAAAAATATGACTATGAGAAATGCTAAATACAGCTTTTTAAAAAGAATAGAGTAATAAAGTGAGGAGGATGGATTCAAGTATTTACTGCATACTACTATGAGCCTCATATAATGCCAGAGACTTTCAAATACATTATCTTCTGTAAGCCCCGTGAGTCAGGAAAGCTAGCATTCTCCCGTTTGCAGATGAGAGGGGTGCAGGGTTGGAATTCAAGTTCCTTATCTTCAAAGCCAGTGTTCTCTTTACATCTTCATGCTTCCTCCCGTCTGTATTGGGTCCTTCCCTCAAAGACACACGCAGCCAAACTAGTCTTTGCTATAGTGATGCAAATTAATTTGCATCTGACTCCTCTGCTTCTAAGCTTACAGAAAGATCAAATCATATGCAATTAATAATAAAGCTCTAGTTTCCTTACACCATTTAAATAAGATGTGATGACATCTGGGTATTGAAAAATTCTCTTCTTTCCTGAATCAACTTAAAAGGATAACTACATTCCTGTCATCGCTGTTAGGAACTTGTTTGGAATATCTAGTAATGTACACAGAAGTGACCTTTCATTAGGGATCTGTTTTCTCAGAAGTTGAGGGTATGCTTCGGGGAAACACTTAAAAAATATATATGAATTTTTATGTGTGTCACAAGATACACATACATGTACATACTAATATTACTTATATGGTCTTAATTATTTAATCTTTAATATTTATTCTATTTTTCAATGTGCTGAAGTTAAATCTCTCATGATAGCTATGCAATAAGTAAATATTTTATAGAGCTTATAACCCAGATCCCTTGCCTGCTTGTTCAACAGACCATTCACCAGTAATGTCATATTTGAACTACGGAAAACAGTACTCCTGTGAGCTTATGGGTCCTCAAGCAAAATTTAAAAGAAAAAGCAGGTTATGTTGTGAAAACAGAGTTTTGCTGCCTCTGGCAAAATTATGCCTACATTATTAAATTAAATGAAAATATATTCTACTTTATACATGCCCACAGAAGACCATACAATTTGTTCAAATAATATTATCCTTATGAATTAATCCCCTTTACCAAGTTCTCTCTTGAATATAATCCAAGTCCTTAACATTGTATTTATGTTCTCATTCTTTATCATTTATCAGTGAAGATGAAATTTTAATAAAATTCTGTTCTGTCTAGCTTCATAATTTAATACATACAGTTACCATCCCCACAGCTACCCACAAGGTCAAGTCACCATCACCATCATCTTTCAACTTGGGTCACTGTAGTAGCTTCGTAACTCATCGCTCTGTTTCTGTCCTTATCCCCAGTAATCCTCTATTCAACCCAGCAGTCAGAGTCAGCCTTCAATATACAAGTCAGATCAGGGCAGCCCAGGTGGCTCAGCGATTTAGTGCAGCCTTCAGCCCAGGGTGTGGTCCTGGAGACCTGGGATCGAGTCCCACATCAGGCACCCTGCGTGAAGCCTGCTTATCCCTCTGCTTGTGTCTCTGTCTCTCTCTGTGTCTCTCATGACAAATAAATAAAATCTTAAAAAAAAATTAGTCAGATCATGTCATTCCTCTGCTCCATGGCTTAACTAGACAGGAGTTCTTTTAATGGTCTGGCCTCCTCTCTGTTCCCATCCCCTGCTCTTTTTCCTCACTCATGCTGCTCCAGCCACCCAGGCTTCCTTGCTATCCTGAGAAAATGCCACAGCTGTTCCCAGCTCAGAATCTGGGACATCCCTCTTCCAAATACCTCTCCACCCCTTCAGGTCTTTGCTCTCCTTGTTGGTAAGGCTTTCCTAGCTTGTTAAATATTTGCAACTTCTCTCCACCTGCCCCTGCATTGTTATCCATTGTTCTCTTCTATTTCCCTTCATTCATATTATTGTCTTCTAGTTTATGTTCAAATTATTTATGTTGTGTATAATTATCTCTCCCCATTTGACTATCAGTTCCAAGAGAGGTATGTTTGCTTAGTACTCTATTGTATTCAACACCTAGAATTGCACTTGGCCATAAGTAGGCATTTAAGGCATTTTTGATGAATGAATGCTTATCATTCTTATCAGATCATGCATTGAATGAATATTTATTGGGTCCCTATTTATCATAGTACACATTAGAAATATGAAAATAAATGAGAAACTTTCCCAGCCCTGAAGAAGCTCACATTGTCTACCTTATGTACTACATAGGACCTTCACAACTTAGAAAAAAACAAGAGACAGAAAAATAACAAACTGCTCAAGATTTCTTGGGTTGATAGATACATTTTAAACCTATTCTTAACAATGTTGAAATGGTAGATAAATAATGATAACTTGCAGCAATGTATAAAGATTAAAACCCGGATATTGCTATTTCTCTGAATGTATGCTTCTAAAACATTCCCTTTGTTAGGTTTCATGATGGCAAACTGGGAAATTGAAGGGATACTTTTCAGTCCTTCAATTCAATTCATAAAGTAACTTCTTTGCAACATTAGGTACAACTATGTTCTGCTGAAAGTCTCTCCTTTATTCTTCACACCAAGTTTGTTTTTCCTTCTATTTTTATAAGCATAAAACCATTTTGCCTGCTGACTATATACACTTAATTGATATTTGTTCATTCATTTCCTTGAAAAACAATATTGCCTTTTTCATTCCAAGCACTCTCTTGGGTGCTGGAGATACAAAAGCAAACAACACGGGAAAGGTTTTGCCATCTTGGAAACTGTATGGGATGAATAAATCAATCAAGACAGACAATATATTTATACACGTTAAAGTTTGACACTCAGATGTAATGATTGTCAATTTTCCCTGTTAAGCTAGGAAGAATGTAGAATATATGTTTACACCGTCTGAATTATAAATTTTACCCATTATTGCCAAATCAAATAATTATGTCTTTCTCAGTCGGTATAGATCTAAATTTTACACAATGTGACATAATTTAGGTTTCTTCTCTTTCTTCTTGGCCCTAAGAAGAATGGGGAGTTATTGTGTAATGAGTATGGAGCCCCTGTTCCATAGGTGAAAAAGTTCTGGAGATGGGTGGTGGAAATAGTCATACAACATTGTAAAGGTACTTAATGCCAGTTAATTGTACTTTGAAAACTGGTTAAATAGTAAACTTTATGGTATGTATATTTTATCACAGTAATAGAAAAAAAAATCTTGACTAGCAAAGAATTTGATGCACACACTCAAGAAAAGTTTTAGAGGCCAAACTGATAGATAAAAATAAAAGTTTAGAATTATCTGGAGTTTCAAATTATATATATTTTCTGTCGCTTCCACAGTTGGTTATTATTTACCCTAAATATAACATTTTATATAAAACAATTTGAACTGTATATTAAATATATTAGTATCAAAGTTATGGTGTATGTTGTTGTTTGATGCCAAAAGAATTCTATGAAACACCTAGGAAACATTTTTAACTACTTACTTGCAACCAATGGCTCCTCTTCTGATGGCTTAAAGTAGAAAGAAACCTTTTCCAAATCAAATAGTGCAACCAGTGTGTCTTCTAGCATGGCTTGTTCATCTGTCTAAAAGGAAAGAAAATAATACATGATATGATAAGATCGTATAGGATAGAACATAACATCACGTCTCCAGATCTTAAGTAGCTTCACTTGTGTTTTATTTACATGAAAACCAAAAATTATCAATGCTTACCTAAGAATTTATTGTGGAAAATGAAATTAACAAATCCCTCAAAGTTACAAGTCTCTTTTATGGTTTAATATTTTCCTTTTAGATCATCTAAATGGCTCTACACAACTCTTGAGCCTATTTGGTAGCTAGATTCAAATCATATTGATTTCTAACACTTACAAATAAGTATGTAGACAATAAGCATGCTATGTGCCTCTAAACTTCTATAATCTTAAAAATGTAACAGCTAGAAGGCAAGAATATTGTTTTATTGAAAAGCTACAGTACACAGTTGCCATCCTGTTTTACAATAAGGTAACCTATGCATTATTCAATTTGCACCCTTTTATAGCTGTGATAAAAGCAATTTGCATGTACGCAATGATTTTCCTTCCAAAGATCTTAGAGATAAGAAACATTTTTATCCTACTTGCCTTTATAGTGCCTTAATCTAGAATCCTGTGACTATGCAATCTGATCTGTTTTAATCACTCCTTTCATTCTAATGGCATATTATTTTCCAGCTGAGGCAGGGAAGGTGGTAACAAGTTCAGCCCATGTCTCAGCAATACTATCTTTCTAGTACTACATTTTGGCCTCCCTAGCAGCAGTTTTGTGCAGGATGAAAGAATAATTAGCTTTACATTACACAAGCTTATCTTTTAAATGTAACAACTGTTTCCTTAAGAATATCAATGACCCTTTTAAATAATGGTTTTAACTGCTTTATGCACTTTTTTTTTTTTTAAAGTAGACTCCAACCCCAGCATGGAATCCAACAAAGGGCTTGAACTCATGACCCTGAGATCAAGACCTAAGCTGAGACCAAGAGTTGGTCTTAACCAACTGAGCCACCAAGGCGCCCTGTTTTATGTATATTTTTGAAAATTGCTGTAAGCTTATAGCCATATTTTTTGGCAGCATGAATAGAGGGTGAAAGAGATAGTAAAGAATGCCCACTATGTGAAAAAGAATCACCAAAGCAACCCCAGATCCCAAAGATATTTAGCATGGAAACCAAAAAGTTAAGAGAATCATCACCTTTGAACCTTGGTTTGGTACTTAATGTAGTGCATGGTACATAGTAAGTACTGGATAAATATTTAGTAAACTGCTATTTTTTTAAAGTCCTTTGAAGCAACAAGAGTATGCCATGAACCTGGAATTGGAAGGCCAGGACTGAAGAATCAGCATTTTTCTCAATTAAGAAGAATACACACAAGGAAGAAATATTCCAAACAGGTGGGCCTCTGACTGATATGGTGCAAGCTATGATGCTTCAGCAGACATGGCTAAAGTGATACCGAGTGACTATGGACTGTACTCAGAGCTCAGGGACACACACACACTGCCAGCATCTCCACCTTCCACAGAACTTCCACATTCCCAGGAGGCTTTTATATGCTTATTACAGAGGCAGAAAAAATACGGGTTTCTTTGACTTTTCTGTAAAGCAACCTTTGGATTTTTTTTAATCAATTCTTTAAACGAAGTTAAAGGTTTCAAAAGAGTAAGAAAAAAAGCTTCTTGAGATATAATTCACATACTACAAAATTAACCATTTAAAGTGTATAGCTTGGGGTTTTTAGTATATTCACAGAGTTGCACAACTACAACCATAATCTAATTTTAGAAATACTTGCACCGCCCCATAAAGAAACTCCATACCCATTAGCACCCATTCCCCCAAACCCCTTTCCCCAGTCCTTAGCCCCAGGCAACCATTGGTCTATTTTTAGTCTCTGAAATTTGCCTATTTCATATATATCATAATAATTGACCCAGATAATATATAGTCTTTTGCAACTGTCTTACTTCACTCAGTATAATTTTTCAAGGTCTGTCCATGGTGTAGCATGTGCCAGTTTTCCATTCTCCTTTTATGGCTGAATAATATTCTATTGTATGGCTGTACCACAACTCATTGATCCACTTAGCACTTCAGGGAATTTGGGCTGTTACTACTTTTAAGCTATTATGAATAGTCTTGCTAAGAATATTTGTGTACAAGATTTTATGCAAATATAAGTTTTCATTTCTCTTGGGTATTACATAGGAGTAGAATTTCTGGGTAATATAGGAATTCTGTGTTTAACATTTTGAAGAAGTGCCAAACTGTTTTCCAAAATGGCTGCACTGATGTCAGCATCCATCACTAGACAAATGGATAAAGAAGATGTGATGTATATAATACACATATGCACGCACACGGGCACACACACATTCATGCATGTGCACACACACATACACACTGGAATATTACTCAGTCATAAAAAAGATGAGAGCTTGCTGTCTGTGATAACATCGATGAATTTAGAGAGTATAATGCTAAGTGAAATAAGTCAGGATGAGAAAAACAAATACCATATGATTTTACTCATGTGTGGAATCTAAAGAACAAAACGAATAAACAAACAAAACGAAGAATCAGACTATAAATACCAGAACAAACTGATGGTTGCTAAAAGGAAGGAGGTGGTGGGATGGGCAAAATGTATAAAGGGGAGTGAATGATGTAGGCTTCCAGTTGCAGAATGAATAAATCATGAGAATAAAAGGAACAGCCTAAGGAAAAAATAAATAAATAAAAATGACAGCATAGGGAATATAGTCAATGACACGGTAATGGTGTTGTATGGTTGACAAATGATAGCTACACTGTGGTGAGCACAGCAGAACATATAAAGAAGTTAAATCACTATGCTGTACACTCAAAAACAATGCAACATTGTGTGTCAACTACTCTTTTTTTTTTTATGATAGTCACAGAGAGAGAGAGAGAGAGAGAGAGAGAGATTGGCAGAGACATAGGCAGAGGGAGCCCGACATGGGATTCGATCCCGGGTCTCCAGGATTGCGCCCTGGGCCAAAGGCAGGCGCCAAACCGCTGCGCCACCCAGGGATCCCCCCCCCTTTTTTTTAATTTAGTCAACTACTATTAATTTAAAAATTAAAATTAAAAATTCTTGAAATTAAGAAAATGGCAATTTTTTATTTTTACCTTCCCACCAGCAATTATGAAGGTTACAATTTCTCCTTCTCAACACTTGCAATTATCTTTTGGATTATACCTATCCAAATCCCAAGTATTATAGTACCTCACTGTAGTGTTGAGTTGCATTTCCCCAATGGCTAATGATGTTGATTATCTTTCCATGCGCTTTTTGGTCATTTTACATCCTTTTTGGAGAAATACCTATTCAAATCCTTTTTGTGCTTTCTAATTGAGCTTTCTTTTTATAGTTTAAGTTTTAAGAATTCTTTCTAGAGTCCGGATAGAAGTTGCTTATCAGATATATAAATTACAAATACTTTCTGCCATTCCTTGGCATCGCAAACAAAGTAGAAGTACCAGCACTTGATTAAACAATGGCAGTTTTAAAGTAGGAGTAGAACAGGAATGAAGCCTCACTCATTCACTCATTCAATAGGCACTTAATGCTACCATGTGTTAGAAAGTGGACTTCCTATCTTATGTAAGGATAGGATGTTAGATTCAAAAGCATCTAATTCTGTTTCTCCGAAGTACACTGAGGTGGAATTCCTTACCTTATCATTCCAGAACCTTTTATGACTGTGCAGTACTGCAATTACCTCCCTATCTTCATTACCATTACAAAACTATTTTGATATATAAAGTCACTTACATTTGTTTAAAAACTCAACCTGTTACTTGGTAGTCACATATTCTATGTATACTTTAACAGGTGACACAGCATTTCGGGTTTAAAATCACAATTCTATTTAATGAGTACTTCAAGTTTATGTATAAGTGAACATGTTTGCCTTTAAACATCACGACAACTATCAGAACCACAGAAAGAATATGTAATAAGCCCCTTTTATTTATCAAATATCTTGAGGTGCTTTCCTTGTAAGGACTGTGGGAAACTGATGCATAAATATGGAATATTCTCAGAATTAACAGGACAAACATGCATACAAAGAAAGGAAATAAATTCACTGAACATACCCAAGTTTTAAACAGACTGTCAGACAGTATGGCACACAAGTTGTCAGATCCTGTCTATCGGGCATGCTCCCGAATATAAACCTGTGTGGGAGCCTGGGTTTCACGGCAGGCTGTTTCTTCCTGACTGGAAATAAGGAACCACAGCAGAAACCCCTTTCCCCTCTGATGATCTTTTTCAGTCAGTGCTTAGGGACACAGGAATTAGGAACATATGGGAGGCTTTCTCAGCTTTTAGCACCCAGAGAATAAATAAAAATCAGGAAAAAAGGAATATCTTCTATATACTTACTAAAACCATATTTGTCCATGGAAAAATATGTTCTTTTAAAGTATCTGACTGACTACTGACCCACAACGAATAACCACTTCTTTTTTTTTTTTTTTTCCGAATAACCACTTCTTATTTGGGAATATGTTACAACGTATGGTACTGTTGACACACACAGTGGGAGACACTGTGATTCCTTACCAAGTTTGGTGACAGGAGTGATTGAAAATGGAAAAGAACACCTGCATTCGCTATCTGGTCCAGCCATCTTCTGCTGGCTTCCCCCGTGTCCATCTCATTGTCTTTGCTGTTGTCAAACATCTGGTTTAAGGCTGCCATGAGCTGCTCGGAGAAGGCACAGACTGTGGCCACAAGGCTCTGGCAGAAAACCATGTCTCTTCGGAGCTGTGTCTCACTGTCTGTAACCCAGGAGAACATAAAGACAGTTTTGAAAAATGTCACAGGTAAATAACACCAATTCATTAAGCATCTATGTTTACCATTGTTTCATCCTTTCACTAAACTCAACCCATGTGAAAAATGTGAATTTGAGCTCTTCTAATGAGCACAGATACCTTAGCAAATATGCTTTTTAGAAAACATTAAACATCAAAAAATGTAAAAAAAATTAAGATAGTTTTTCTTAATTGGCATTGTGACTTTATTTTGCAATCATTAAATTGTTTTATAAAACACAAGGGGGAAAAATAAGGCTTTAGTTATTGACTTCTTTTTTGATGGAATTTGTGTTTGTTGCATGATACTTCCTAAAGGAAACTCAAAGTCCAATTTTTCAGTTTGTGTTGTCAATGAAATACATTTTTAATATTAAATTTTTAAAAATTACCTAATAAACTTACTTAAATATTAAGGTGAAATGCACATCGGGAAAGAGTATTGATGTCTGATGGTAACAGTAAGTAAATTTGGACTCTTGCATTTACCTATTAGACCTCATGTGTTATAAACAAATCCAGTTTATAAATTCTTACATTTCTTTGAAATAAGTAATGCATTTACAGTATTAACATAAACTGATTTCATCAGGATTCTTATTCTGCAATTGGTGGAGTTTTGATGGACTCACCTTGAAGGTCTGTTTACCCTGTGAATGGCCACTCTTGGGCCACAGTTTTTGTTTGTTTGTTTGTTTGTTTTGTTTTCAAGTAGAAAGAAGCTTTTCTGAGAACATGATCACAGAGATTCACCTCTTTGCATTTTTGAATATATACAAACTCCATGAACTACATACATGTCAAGCCATACGTTCCGTACATTGAAAAGTCACTTGTACCAGATGAACAATAAAAGCAAAAATACTCAGTCTCAAAAGTGTATTGGATATTTCAAGGGCTCAGAATTTTCTGAAGTGAAGAAGTGCTGTCAATATTAGGGTGTAAAACGGACATAAATGTTGCCATGAGTTCTTGCTTTATTGATAAAAAGGCCTAATTTTTAAGTTGTTTACCAAGAACAATGAACATATGATTTTAATAACCATCAAAGGCATCTGAACACACAATATAATTTCTGTGTGTTACTTAATTTCCCTGTTAGTAAAAGCTACTCTTGACAATTTTATTAGAAAAAGGATTAAATATTTAAAGTATTTAATTTTATAACGAAAATCTTCATTTATTATGTTGATCTATACAAAGTTGTTCCTTTACTAGGTCAAAATGGTTGAATATGGCAATCCCATATGATTCAACTTATTAATTTAATCAATAACAGGTGGTAGACATTCCCTTTAAGTAATTATATACCATGTGCCTCATTCAAATAGATGGAAAAGAGTGTTTTATAAGTAACTGTAAAATAGCTAAAGTGGGAAAAACCTTTGTCCAATTCTTAATTAAGAAAAAAGCAAAACACCTATTTTGTTGTGCACAATTTCTAACAAAGTGTAGACATTCAACAACTATTCACTGCATTAGTAAATGAAAATAATGAATGAGTAGAGCAACTAACAAATTAAGTGAAATGAAAATGTACGAGCTCATTCTCTGAAATGAGATGGATTTAGTTTGAAATTAGCTTGAAATGCCTGGATTTAGTATGACCTAAAAGGATAATTCAGACAGCTTGTTAGCCCAAATGTGTAGCTACAATGTTGAGATTCAAGATAGAAACTAAATAAAATAGCCCTATATCTTTCTTGCACAGTTTTGCTTTGTCTTCTGTTGTTCTATAATAAAGCAGAAAATCTGGGGAAATTTAAAAAAATACTTCAGTAGTTTGGGCAGAAATACTCCCACCTATAACCTGAGAATAATTTCATAATCAAAACTGAATTGGAAAGAAATGTCTTATATCAAGAATGGAAAGCTAAGGTCCAGAGAAGGAAAAATCCAGTTCCACTGAAAACTTAGAAGAGATCATGAGGGTTAGTTAACTTTGCCACTAGTAGAAATAATTATCTTCAAATTGCTTTTGAGAAGTAATGCCCAAATTTCTTCTCTTTTTTTTACCCTTGGAAAAGAATACTTAAATGTTTATTCCACATTCTATTACTTTATCTATATGCATTTTAAGCCAAAGAAAATTTTCATTCAACTTCACTATCAAGTCAGAGCTGATCATATAAAAGTTGTATTTCTTCATTAAATTTTTAAACTTTTCACATTGAATATACCACAAGAATTAAACATAGCACCAATTACTGAGGTTATAAAGATATCCAAGGTGAAGCCTTGGTCATGTCTATGCTTACAGTAGAGTAGCAGAATTTGATATGCAAGATGCCCTGAAACACACTGCCATTTAAATTTCAAACCAACATATTTTCAAATGAAAAGCACTTTATAATTTCTTACTACTTCATGAGGTGGTTTTTAGTTGTGCTTTCCTACTCCAACAGAGTAAATGACTTGTTTGCATAGACTTTAATATGCACATCATATTGAGTTTTTCAAGTAACTTTGACACATTATCACCTCCCAGTGAATAATAAAGGCAAAAAACTCAGAGTGGCAGAAAGGACTCCTTACAATCTATCATCAAGTCATGCTGACAGTTTATAAATGCATTGTTTCCCTTCATTCATCCCCTACACCAGCAATAATCTTCCCAGGCTTGTTATGAGAAGATAAGAAAACAATGTATCTGAAAGTAGCCAGGACCCTGGCTATACAGACCTCTCCTCTTTGTCAGGTTCCTCAAATGTTAAATGCCCTTATAAATGTTTTTAGAGCTCACACCTTTGTCCATGGGACCTCTGGCTGCAGGCACATTCCTGACCATCTCCGCCAGCAAACTTTAAATCATCCTTAAGAGTCAATTCCTTGAACTTCTGGAACCCACTGAACTCCTAAAATAAAATCTCCCCTTGTGAAATTTTCTCTTTCCTTCAGTAGGTATCATGCACTTCTTGATCTGCCACCATGGGCCTGGGAGTATCCCTCTACTAGATGACTAATTACTCAGCATTGTGAGAGTTTGTTTAATGTCTGGTTCCCCAGGAGACCATCAGCACATCAAGGACAGAGGAAGTGGCATATAATGTGAAGGATGCTCATGGACCTAGAGACATATCATCTGCTTTCATCTACCCATTCTACTCATTTTAAGCCATATAATCCTAGGTATCAGATTCCTACATATATTATGGGGTATTTCTACCAAGACCTGCAATAAAGATAAATGAGATAAAGATAAAGCACTTAGTAAAGTAAAATTGCACAATATTGTTATTGTGATTCTTTAAAAAATATTTTAAAAAAGATTTTATTTATTTGAGAGAGAGAGAGAGAGAGAGAGAGAGATCATGAGCAGCTGGAAAGGGCAGAGGGAGAAGCAGACTCCCTACTGATCAGAGATTTCGATGATAGACTTGAGCCCAGGACCCTGGGATCATGACCTGAGCTAAAGGCAGATCCTCAACTCTCTGAGCCACCAAGGCACCCATAATTTTTTTTTTCTTCAGCATCTAGGAAGGTGTCTGGCACAGAGTGGGACTCAGTTCTATTGCTAAATGGGGAAGGAACCATATGATGAATACAGACACCAAAATAAGCAAACTCCTAAGAAAAACTGACAATTCTTTTAATTATGCAGCTGTTCAAAATTCACAAGTATCCATCTTTCCCCAAAACTATTCTCATTCCTCATTTTTATCAATAAGAACTATGGCAGGATATACAACAGCTGCTTCCAGCTTCTAGCAAAAGAAGAAAGGCAGGGTGAGCTGTTTTTTTGGTAACAGTTTGTTTATTGTTTTTACAGAGTAAGAATTCTCTGGTAGTAGGAATATACTCAAAAGAAATGGATGTTTTATTTATCAAAGGCTTCTGTTTCACTCCAGTATTTAAGCACCTACTCAAACCCACCTTCTACAAACATATTTTAAAATAGTAACACTTCATTTACTCTCCATGGTTTAAAAAGCTCAAATTCCATAGCTGGTCTAAAAAGAATGAGATAGTTTCTGGATACACAAGTAATCCCAGTCAGTATTCTGAGACTGTAGGGAAAAGAAATAATAATAAAAAATAACAACAAAGAAATGAAAGAGAGATTAGACAGAGAAAAGGATAGGAATAAAAGTGAGTTTAAAATAATATTTAGCAGACACAATGCCCCATTTTCAAGTGGAGAGCATAATTCTGCAGCCAACAATGTGGAGTAATTTGGCTACATTCTGGTACCATCCTATAGATGAGAGAAAAAACAGTGAGTAAATAAAGTAGAAAAAAGGATACTCATGACAGGAATAGAAAAATAAAGTTGAAATCAAAATAAGGATCTACAAAAATATACTATTTGAACATTCACCAATAAAGCAATGCATTCCAGGACTGCTTCTGGAATTGACATAACTAAGTTTGAATTTCATCTGCCACCTACTATTCATTCACTCAATAAAGCATCTAATTTTCCAAATGCTCAGAAAATACATGTTGAATGAATACCATTTATTAGTTATTATTATACGTACGTATAATACGTCGTTATTATTAATCGATCTGAACGTTAACTTCTTCATCTTTAAACCTGTGTAAAAGTAATGATGTTCTCATAGAGTGATTATGAGGACCCAAGGAAATCTATACAAGGCCTATCTACTGTGTGCTTATTAGTAAAACTAAAAAAAGTCAGATATTTCTGTTATTATTACTCAGTCCAAAAATAAGACAACTATTTGTTTAATTCAAGCAAAAACTGGCCAAAAACCAAAAAAGCCCTCTGGTTAACTCGACTCATTCATTCACTTATAATTTAAATTTTCTAGATGTGACAGATTGTAAAAGACCCCTCCTTCCAAAGTATGATCTGCTTCTCCATCCCTTGAATCTGAGCCCACCTACATCCTTGTTCACAAAAGTTAGACATAGTTTCACAACAAATCCCATTTGCACAATTAACTTTACCAAAATCTCCTTCCTTTCTCCTTTTTAATTATATTCTGTATAAACATATGCACAATTAACTTTACCAAAATCTCCTTCTTTTCTCCTTTTTAATTATATTCTGTATAAACATATATGTTTCCATGTTTGTACCTATAATGGAAGATGAATAGTTTTTGTATTTTTACAAAATACAAAAAAGTATTTTTTTTTAATCTTTGCAAGGCTTTAGAGAAAGTAGGGATTGTATTTCCACCTAATTTGTTGAAGGAATTGCCTTGGTATCATGAGACTTCTAACGTCATGGGCCACAATAATTTCAAATAGTAAAAATAATGAAAAATATTACCTGAATATTCAAGAAGAGCCAGGAGTATCCTACACTTTACCTCTGCAGAAAAAGAAAATATTAACAGTTAGTTGTTCAGTCTTTTTTTTTTTTGCCACTAGCACCACATTTTACTATACATTTTAATAGTATAGTAAAAATCAGCACAATCTTACTATATTAGATAATAAAAATCTCTTTTACTTGACATGCTATTCTTCCTACCCCCTATATAAATTCTATCTATTGCTCAAGATGCTAAAATTTCATATAGTTCTGAACTAAACTAGCCTGTGAAACACATTCAAATCTTGCTACCTTTGTTAAGTCATCCTTAACTGCTGTAGTTTGCATGTTGTTCTCTAAACTCCTATAGCTATTATGGTCTTGATCAATAAGCTCTCAAGCAGCATTTTTTCTTAATTAAACTTTTAAAGATTATATGCGTTTTATAATCTTTATGTATAATTATATGTATATTATGCATTATATATTAGAATTTTAGATTATATGTAATATACAGACTATACTTCTCGATTATATAGTGTGTATATATAACATACACACCGTATGTTATATATACATAATCTCTCTCTCTCTCTCTCGAAATCCTTTCCTATCTATATGTCAAGAACAGCCATAAAAGGCGGAACAATACTACATATTTCCAAATACTCTTCTTCCCAACCCATCTCCAAACAAGGGCAATCACAAATGTTTGATAAATGTGTATTAATTTCATACTCATTGCTTTACTTCTAACTGGTAAATAGTTTACTTGCAATCAGTAAATATAAAAGCACACAGAGCTCCTTTATGTGCCCAAGATTATGGGAAATAAAAAAGGTTAGGTTACATCCTATTCCAGACAGGCTCACAATAGAGTTAGAGTGACAAAATTACCTGATAAGAAATATAGGAGATACTTGAAAGGACATTACATTTTACAAGTGAGAACACAAGAACAAGAGAATTTCAGCGGTGGAAAAGTACAAGAGTCACAGGACCCATCTGTTGCAGTAGTCCTTCATTATCCATGTGGGACATTCCAAGACCCCTCCGTGGATGCCTGAAACCATGGACAGTACCAAACCCTAAATATACTATGGATTTTCTAATTTTTTTAAAAGATTTTATTTATTTATTCATGAGAGACACACAGAGAGACGCAGAGACATAGGCAGAGGGAGAAGCAGGCTATGGGTAGCCTGATGCAGGTTTAGATCTCAGGACACTGGGATCATGACCTGAGCCAAAGGCAGATGCTCAACCACTAAGCCATGCAGGCGTCTCCATGCTATGGATTTTCCTGTCCATATATATCTATGACAAAGTTTAATCTACAAATTAGGCACAGTAAGATATTAACAAGAATAGTAATAAAATAGAATAATTATAATAATATACTGTATTAAAAGTTATATGAATGTAGTCTCTCTTTCAAAGTATCATATTGTACTGTACTCATCCTTCTTCTTGTGATGATATGAGATGATACAATGCCTAGGTGATGAGATTCAGTGAGGTGAATGACGGAGGAGGCATCATGACGTAGAGTTAGACTACTACTGACCTGCTGATGATAAGTCAGAAAGAGGATCATCTGCTTCTAGACTTTGGTTGACTAAGAGTAACAGAAAGCAAAGAAAGCAAAACCGTGGATAGTGGGGTCCCCCATAGTAGCTTTGTGGTTTTCAGAAAATGGTTACACTACTATTGATCCTTGAACAACACAAGTTTGAATCACATGGGTCCACTCATACGTGGAATTTTTTCAATAAAATCAGTATAGCACTGTAATTTATTTCCTTTTCTTCATGATTTTCTTAACATTTCCTTTTCTCTAGAATATAGCATATGATACATATAACATACAAAACATTATCTGATGATTTATATTATCAACAGGGCCCTGGTTGGCAATAAACTATTAGTAGTGAGGTTTTGGGGGGAGTCGAGGACTATTTGAAGATTTTTGAATGGGTAGGAAGTCTGTGCCCCTAACTCTCATGCTGCTCAATGGTCAACTGTACTTTGAGTTTCAAGGTGCTCATTCACCAGTGACGATAACACCTATCGTATCTATTTTATGGACCTGTATAGGACAAATAAATGGTGATATATATTAAAATCCTTGGAAAATTATTTACCATGCTATTTATCTATAAAGCACTGTTATTATTGTAATCTGAATCCACCTAAAAAGTTGGTATAGAATTCTAAGTGAGTCTTGAAAATGTTTTAAAACATTTTTTAAAGTTCTATTGTCGAAAGAGTAAGTACATATCCTAAGAATGGTAAAGAGTGCTAACAAGAGAATATAGTAAAGAGTGAATACCAAATATTCAACAATCTAGCATAGAAAAGATTTTACTAGATCATTTAGAGACTGAGATTGAGATAAAATTAGAAACCTCACTGAAAAATGCCATCCAACATCTGATCGATGAGTTTAGATTTATCTAACAAAAATCACTATAAGGTTCTGGGGCAGGGTACTAAAATTATGAACACAGTATTTTAGGAAAATGAATATAATATATCATACTATATAAATCAGAAAAGATACAGATGGGAGGATTAGCAAGAACTCTATTCCAAAGACTGAGGTAAGAAAAACAAGGGGGGAAATTGGAGACTTTTGATTAAAAAAAGAAGGAAGAAGCTCTTTGGGATATTTGGGGGTGGGGGCAGTAAGTCGCTGAAATAATGGGAAATTTTGAGAAGAGTACAATTTCTGTAGGGAGCAAGAATTGAAAATGTGTTTACTAATAAACATTTGAATTTAAGGTGATGGTGGATCCAATTCTGTCACCAATTCCAATGTGTGTTTTTTCATCCCCACACCACTAAGCAATCACCCAACACTATCTGGTATCCTAAAATTCAACTCAATTATCTACCTGAAGATAGCATCATATCTCACAGGGTAAGGGCTTAGTCCCATAAGACTGTCCCCACCCAATTCAGGCACCAGCTGCAAGTTCAGGTTGTCACCTATGCTTCTGACTAATTGGCTACAGATCGGAGGTTTCAATGCCTCTCTGTTGAGTTTTATTGATTTTCTAGAGTGGCTGACAGAATTCAGAGAAACATTTTACCTACTAAATCACCAGTTTATTGTAAATGGATATAGCTCAGGAGCCAGATGGAAGAGATGCAATGGGTAAGGTATGGGGAATTGATGGGGGACTTCCATGTTCTCCAAATGCACCACTCTTCTAGAATCAACCCAGAAGCTTTCTGAACTCCATCTCTTTGAGATCTTATGGAGGCTTCATTACATAGGCATGATTAATTAAATCATTGGTCACTGGTGACTGAACTCAACCTCTAGCCCCCTCTCCCTTCCCTGAAGTTGGGGGTGGGACCCTCTAATCACATGGTTGGTTTCCTTGGCAACCAACTCCCTTCCTTAGAGGTTTTCTAAGGAAACCTCACTGGGATAATGAAAGACACCTTTATAGTTTTCATCACAAGAAATTCCAAGAGTTTTAGGAAATCTGTGACAGGGAAGGGGACAAGGACTAAATATATGTTTCTTACTATAAATCACAGTATTACCATGTGTTAATCAAGTATAAATATCTTCAATCGGCTGATAATTTGAGACCATAATTTAGCGTAAATATTAAGCAGGAACTAGGCTTTATCTGAGTACTTAGTGACATGACAAAATGAATCTATCCTTCATTTATCCCACTATATTTTCTGCTCTCTTCTACACTCAGTTTGGCAGGCTATGATATGAATGCATGAATGTCACAGTGTGATACTGTATGATACAAAATGATACTGTAACAACACTTCCTATATAAAGATCATAAAATTATTATAATTATTATATTTTGATACCATTTGGTGTATACTTGACAGGATATTTTGAAATCAGAGATGAATGAATGATGAGTTTCAGAACATGTTACCCCCAAACATGGCAATTTGGCATACTGAAAATGTTAAGCTGAAGGAATTTCATAAAAAGCAGGTGTATGGAAAACTCTCTGACCTCCCCTTACTCTGCTGAATCTGGTCATAAAACCTTCTTGTGAGAAGTGCCTTCCCAATCCCAGAGGAAAGAAGTGTTCCTATCTCCAAAGACAGAAGAACACTGAAAGGAACAGGCCTTGCCAAATTTCCCAGTTAACTACCCTTAGTGCATACACTTCTGTCCTACATTTTTCCAAAACTTTCTACTTTTTATCAAACCTGGTATAAAAGCATCCAGGTTTAACACTTATTCTGGTCTTCATTTCCTTACAAAGCTCTCATATCATGCAAAACATATTAAATAAATTTATTTATTTTAATTTGTCTCTTGTCTGACAAATTACAGGTCAGTAGGCAAAGAATCTAGAAAGGTAGAAGGAAAAAACATTACTTTTTCCCTCCTCTACAGGAACATCAGAATGGGGTTATCTCAGTTACATATCTAAGCCACAAAATTCTGGAAGGCAACATTATATTGAGCTTCTAGTCAAGACCTAACCCTTCATTAAACAATCACCTATATAAAGACAATTGGGAAATAGAATGAAAATTACTTTAAGTTGAACAGAATAAATTCATGATGAATTGGTGAGGTTACTTCAGAGTACCTCCATATAACAAGCAGTTGATTGCAAGGATCTTGATGTTGCTGCTTCCATCCTGTATAATAGGATGAGACCATGCTATTTGGGGAAGCACAGATTACCAGGAAGTGGCAGCTTGACCTCTTCTTTGATAGTCCATTGGACTGAACTAGTGGTTAATCATTTTTTAAAGATTCGCCTCGCATAGTGATGATCATAGCACTTACCCAAAGAATAACTGCATCTCACTAAAACTGGCAACCAGGGATGTAACCTAAATTCTGCAAAGAGCCCTCCTCACACCATTCACCAGAAGACTCTCAGCACACCCAATCAACCAGCTGTTGGGCTCCCATGACCAAGAGTGATATCCATACTCACAACATCCATCCATCAATATATGTAAATAGTTACCATTCCTACAGCTGCTTATTGTGATATGAAGTATTGAGGGTATGAAAGGTATTAAGATGAAAGTAAGATTTTAAAAATGAATATAATTAAAAATTAAGCTTTTTATCCACATTAGAAAAGGTTAATATCTTAAAGATAAAACTCCTCAAAAAAACAAAACAAGAAAAGGTTTAAAGATTTCTCTGTTCCTAATTGATATTGCATTTACTCTGAAAACAACTATAATCTAAAAAACCTTTCAAAGATGATGAGAACAAATGCATTTATATTTGTTTAAAGATTTTATTTAAATTCAAGTTTGTTAACACATAGTGTATTATTAGTTTCAGGGGTAGAGAGAACAAGTGCATTTAGATTCATGAATTATAATTTCTAGGAGTGTTAATGATACTTGCACTTATTCTGCAAAAAGGAAAAAAACAGTAAAATATATGTTTAAAATCTTTAAAGCAATTTTTAAAAAATGTATTTATCATTTTTGCTCATTAGTTTGGTAGGTATGAAATTCAGACTTTTCACTAAATATGATATTATAATATCATATTATATAACCATTATATTTAGCTATAAAATAAAATGTAGCCAAGATCCAGCTATCAAAAACAAAACATTTCATCACACAATAGAATTGCCATGATTTATTTGGAGTACAAACTCTTCCTCTACTAATCTCTAATGAGTATCTAAGCTGTTATACTAGAGTACATTTATAGGCAGAAGACTTAGTAATCACAGAACATATACACATCTCTGTCATTTGGTAAATGAAGAAACTGAGGCCCAAAGGAGTTATGTCATAGGCTCAAACTCTTATCAGATTTAAGAGCTGTTTTTTGTCAACAAAGTATACAACTCTAATTTACCCTAAAAAGATGGCAGTGACTAGGGGTATGCTGCTATTCTTCGGGGCACTACTTACCACATCCAACTGACATACGAACAACTGAGGAATAGAAATTCAAACTCAGGTGTATACTTATTTATTGTAGAGGTTTCTCAACCTCATCTCTATTGACATTTTGGGCCAAATAATTCTTTGTTGTGACGGACTGTCCTGTAGATTCCAAAATGTCTAGCAGCATCCCTGGCCTCTACACACTAGATCCCAGTAGCACACCCACAATTGTGACAACCAAAAAAATATCTCCAGCTATTGCCAACCACTGGTCTACTGTTGGAAATAAAATCACTGAATTAGGCATTTTTAAAAAGTAAACAAATTTCTCATTTCAACTTCTTCACCATAATTGTTCTGGAAACTCTCAGAATTTTCAACTTAATACTTTGACCCTAAACAACATGTAATCAGACACACTAGAGTTGTCCTGAAGCATTATATCCCCTATCCTAGGTTGTATCCATTATAGGATGTTGAGTAAACAATGTCAGCTAGTTAATAACAATAAACTTAGGCATGAAAAAGAAATTTAAAAACCAATAATGTAACCTACCCTATTATTTTGACTCTCACAAACTCACAATTAATTTTTTAGACCTCCCATAAAACTTAGCTTCGTGACTTTTGTGAATCTTTGAGAAATTTTGCTGGTATTGTTTCATATTATAAAATATGAAACTCTCTCCACATTCCACTTGTCTTCCCAAGTATGAGCCTTTATTTTATTCATTGAGAATATTCCCCATGATTTAGACCATGGAGATCAGTCTACATTTAGTGTTTATAGTCAATATAGATCAGTCTACATCATTTAGATCCTTGGAACATCAGGCTCTACAATCTTACTCTTTCTTTTGCTTCCTCCTTCTCTTATCCTTTCCCATTCTTTTCCTCATAACATGAAACACTACAAAAAAGTAATCAGGGCATTACTGAACTTTTGGTTTAAAATGATTATTGCTAAAGTTATGTAATGCTCTTTGATTTTTGTTCTGACCTTCAACAAATTTTCTGATGTTCTGAGCAAGATTCCGGACACTGCTGGGAAGATTCCAAGGGTCTTGCTTGATGTGAAGCCTTAACCTTTTGGGACAACTCAGCTTTAGTTCCATTTCCTGCTGAAATTCTAAATAAACACAGAAAAATCTCTGGTAAGTCTCAATCATTTACCAGGTAACAAACCTCTGAGCTTCAGAATCCTCTTTCATCCTGTTGTTCTGGGTTATTAGCATGGTGGTATTTTCTCTAGTTATATTATAGAGAAAATTGGTAAAACCTAAAAAAAAAGTCTAACCTTAGTATTATTTTCTTAAAAATGTCTAAACAAAGAAGCAAATTTATAAAAACTCTATTTTCAATGTCTGAAATTAGATGTTAGAAAGTGTCAGCTAGAGATCTCATTCTGTTCTATTTACACACACACATTCCCAAAACCATTTCCCCTACAATGGGCTACAAACAAGTAGGCATTATGCTGGTTTCAGCAAAAGCAATGCAACACTTACATCTCTTCAATTAACTTATTTATATTCATTCTAGCCTCTATAGGGATTGCACATTTTAAACTTGCAAATAAATCTATATTATTCTATGCTGACTTTTTATATATATTCAAAAATTATCAAAAAAGAATACAAAGGGAATCACAAAACACGAACAGCCATTTTCTACTTACACTAAGCTTTTGCTTCATTATTATGTTATTTCCCACTTTTGCTTCCCATTGCTTCTAGTAGTAACTTTTTTGAACTTTACCTTGTAATCCTTGACCTGGTGTGAGGTACTTGGTTTGCTCAAAGGCTCTTACAACAGCTTGCCCTTTTAGGAGATTGGTAATTGAATCCACCTATCATAATAGCAGAGATTTCTGAAAGTTACATACTTCTCATAATATATAATATACATTTCCAAGAATAAATCTTGTAAAATATTTTTGTCTTAATGCCGCAATTATTTTTGCAAACTCACGATGCTCTCAAAACTCATCTTTAATTAAAATATTGGAATAAACTCACTGGTAACACTTGCAATATTTCTTACTATCCTACCATATATTAATATAAAATATAAATATACTTTATATATCACTTTACAAAAGAAGATTTATAGAGTTCTTTTTTTAAAAAAAAAGATCTATTTATTTATTTATGAGAGACAGAGAGAGAAAGAGAGAGAGAGATAGAAGAGAGAGAGAAAGAGAGAGACATAGGCAGAGGGAGAAGCAGGCTCCTCGCAGGAGCCGGATACAGGACTTGATCCCGCATCCCAGGATCAGGACTTGGGCCAAAAGCAGGTGCCCACTTGCTGAGCCACCCAGGCGTCCCTATAGAGTTCTTAAAAAAACTAAAAGTCCTCATAATCTTTTTCAAAGTGGTAAAAACTTCTACACTGTGAATTTTGGTTATGGATATAAATTTTTTTAAATGCAAAATACCACACAAGCACCAAGAGAATCTTGTGCTTCTTGAAAATAGGAATAAACTAAGAAACATCATAAAGAATTCTGAAATCTCACACAGACACACATAATAAAAAGAATAAGTCCTGTGTTTATAACTGTACTTTTTCCAAGAACCATAAAATACTTGCTAGTCACAACAATCCTTTGGGTTTGTTGACTGAAGAATCTTTATTCCCTTTTTATTTATTTTTATTTTTTTAATGATTTTATTTATTTATTGATGAGAGACACACAGAGAGAGAGGCGGAGACATAGGCAGAGGGAGAAGCAGGCTCCACGCAGGGAGTCAATCCTGGAACTTCGGGACACGCCCTGAGCCAAAGGCAGATACTCAACCACTGAGCCAACCACGCGTCCCATCTTTATTCTCTTTTTAAATTGTGGAAATTGAGGTGATGGGGACAGAGGGACAGATCAAGGCCTTTCCATTCTTACTCTAAGCTCTTTTTACTGTCTGAAAAAGGGATTCCTGACAGTTTGGTCTGTAGAAAAAAAGACCCGTAACTGTCCCAATCGTACCTGGCTGAAAAGGTGCTCGAGGCAACTATGTATCTTGTCCTGTTTATCATGAGAAATGCGAACACTGAGGGGAAGCTCATCACCTAGATATAAAAAATAAATCATCCGTCTCTGTTTAACATGCTAACATATTTTAATATAAACAAAATTAAAAAATAATAATTAAGCATGAGCTCTTATTCCATCATGTTCTTAGAATCAGAAAAAGAATTCCAAAAGATTTAATAGCAACTAGTATATCAGATGCTTGCTCTTTGCAATAAAGGTGGAAGCAGAGTGCCTCAAAGGAAAAAAATACTATATAAACTATGTCAATGATGTTTTCAAATGATGCAGTTTTGTAATGGTTAAATAGTTGAAATAAATCACATATTTCAAAATGAAGATGTGTCCTAACCAGATGCAAAGTCTTTGTTCGTAACACACCCCAGATATTTGTGAGTAATTGTATTAGTCAGTGTTTTCCTCATCATTCCCCTCCCCATCACCCACATACAGGGCCAGTTGGGATGTATCTAACCATCTCAAAAGTCCTCAGGTTCAAAGCCCATCCCACCTCTTCAGTCAACAATGCCTAATGTTTTAGTACAACATGCTTCCTGTGTACCTAGCATCCTTCGTAGTATCGTGAAAAATCCTAAAATATACATTAAGATCAGACTTCATTTGTGCCTTTCATTGCTTTTTAATTCGCTTTGTTCACAGCAGGATTGGGATGTTGCCTGCATCCAGCACATGTGACTGACATGCCGTACCCATAGCTGCCAAGAATGACTGAATCAAGGTGAAAATTCATGTCGATCACACAATTTAATCCCTTAAAAGTGTCTCCCCAGATGACTAGTGTCAGGACACACGCCTCTGCCAAACGCACCTGAATCCATCTCATCACTGTGAAAGTATGAGCTGCATTGGCTACTGCAGATGCTGGTGAAGGAGGCAATAGAATTCCTGTTGCTGTTGCAGTCGCTGGGAAAGAGGAGGAGACACATGTCACTTCTGGAATGCAATTGCCAGTTGCCCTGCCAGTTCTTATTCGATAAACGTGCCATGCCACAGTTAGACTCACTGATATGTCTCAAAGAAAATTACAAGGAAAATACATTTTGTTCAACTCACATTTTATCTTACATTAAAAAAAAATCTAAATTCAGTCATATTTCAAAATCTCTGATGCCATGTAAGCTGATTCCAGATGACTTTTTTTTTTTTTTAAATCTGAAGGTAGAAAGCTAGGAGTCAAATAGCACTTAAAATTCATCATTACCTATTTGATGCAGTATGTCTGTAGTTAATTTGTGAATAGAGACAAGGTCCTGATTAATGATCTCTGCCTATCAACTCTTTCTGACAGCTTTTTTTATTTTAAGATTTTATTTATTTTTGAGAGAGAGCATGAGTGGGGGTTGGGGAGTGAAGGGGAGGAGTGGAGGGAGAAGCAGGCTCCATGCCAAGCAGGGAGCTCGATTCGGGGGGTGGATGCTGGGGCTGGATCCCTAGACTCCCAGAATCATGACCTGAGCCAAAGGCAGATGCTTAACCAACTGAGCCACCTAGGCCCCCCCTTTCTGGTAGCTTTAAACTATAACTCATCAACTGCATTCTGAGCTCCCCCTGAGAGGACCAGCACCCTACCTCCACCTCAGAGCTCAGCAGAGGCCACCACATCTGGTGAGTGGCTCCATAGTGATCATTGTTGAAGGAAAGAATGTTTCAAAGTTTTGTGTGTGAATATGGACACATTACAGATTTCAGAGTGCAGGAGGCAAAATACTTTTTTTCCTCTCAGAATCAGTAAAAAATGACTTATTTAACTTTAAATTTACATTTAGAATTTCCAGTTTAGCCTAGAGGGAGACTTGGAGGGTAATTTTAATTATCTGATAACTAGACATTGAGGTAAGAAAGTATTTTTAGATCTGTAATTTCCCATTGGAGGAAAAACCACAGGTTCCTATTAAACAGTCTACTGGTATCCTTTGAAGCTAAAAGTAAATGAAATGGTAAAAGTGGTTAATCTGTGTTATATATTATTAAATCTCTAGGAATAATTAATTCTTATATATGTATTAAAATCCTCTTCATTAGGAATTGGGATAGTACAGTGGTTAAGAGAGAAACTATGAGCCACACCACCTGGTTTCACAGGTAAATTAAGTAACTCCTGTGACCTCAGCTCCTTCAGATGTAAAATGGAGTTAATATCCGTATGTGCCACAAAGGGCTGTGGGGGGAATTATGTGAAATCATCCTGTTTCCCCATGTGTCTGGTGAAAATGTTTTTAATGCTAGCTATTAGTTTGCGGTAAACATCTCTGAGGAGAGTAACTTTAATAATAATTACTTAATATTTTTTCATTGTAAAACACTATAGGATAAAATAACAGTGAATAAGAGAGTTTTCATCTTCGATTAAAGTAAATAAGACAAGGGCAGCTGGGTGGCACAGTCCACTCTTGGTTTCGGCTCAGGTCATGATCCCAAGGTTCTGTAATCGAGCCCCACCTCGGGCTCTGTGCTCAGCATGGAGTCTGCTTGAGATTCTCTCTCCCTCTCCCTCTGCCCCTGCTCTTGCGCTCTCTCTAAAATAAATACATAAATCTTTAAACTAAATTAAGACAGGAGATGCTGAAGCCACACAGGCAGCACATATGGCCAGTGCCGACAGTTCTCAATGAAGTGTTGGTTAAGACAAGGATTCAAAGAAGAACAAGCACTTTCAGTTAAGGAAGTTCACTGGAGGAGCCATGGTTAGAAGGGTGATGGTAGGCAGATGACAAGAGACACTGGAGGGAAGGTGTTACAGGCTGATTGCATCTCCCCCTAAAATCCACAGATTGAAGTCTGACACTCTGGACCCAGGAATATGACTTTGTTTGGAGTGAGGGTTTTTACAGACATAATCAAGTTTAAATGAAATCATTAGTTAGGTCCTAATCTGGTATGACTGATGTCCTTCTAGGAAAGGGAAATGTGGACATAGGCAAATACTTGGAGGGAAAAGGACATGAATAAACAGGAAGAAGATGGTCATCTACAACAAAGGAGAGAGGCCTAGACCTGATTCCTTCTTTCAGAGACCTCAGAGAAAAACAGTCCTGCTGACAGTTTGATCATGGACTTCTGGTCCCAGAAATGTCAGATGATAAATAAATAAACTTGTGCTGCTTAAGCCACCCAGTCCTTGGCACTCTGTTATATCAGTCCTACCAAGATTGTACACATAATGTGTAAGAGAGGGGCAGGTGGGTGTCTGAGTCAGTTAAGTTTCTGACTTCAACTTAGGATATGATGCTGGGGTCCTGGGATCGAGCCTTACATCAGGCACTCTGCTCAGTGGAGAGTCTGCTTCTCCCTCTCCCTCTGACCTTCCTCGCAGTTCACGTTCTCACTCTCTCCCTCTCTCAAATGAATTTTAAAAAAATCTTTAGAAAGTGTGCAAGATTAGAAAAAAATACACAAAGCTGGTCATGGAGGTGAAGAGGTAAAATTAGTCCAATCTCCATACAACAGAACCTCTATTCACTACCCAACAGTCCAATAATCAGATATTGGAAAAAAAATTTTAATATAGGCTGAAATTGCTTATTTGCTATACATGTTACAAAATCTGTAACAGAACAAGTCCTCTAAATTTAGGTCCATTGAGCTGGAGAAAGTATGCTTTTTCCAAATGACTCAAATTATGAAAAAAAAAAAGAGTATTTTGAAAGATTCTGCAGGACCACTCTGCTTTGTTTGGGGTTGGTAACAGTGGTGGTTATTTTGTGAAGGTAATACACAAAAATGATAATCAGAATTTTTTTCCCAAGACCTTTGTGGAAAATATGGAATCACAATTGACTGTGTTGATGCAATGAGTTTAAGGAATTAATGAATTACCTGTAAGAGTCTCTGTTGCTGATGGTGTCATGACCTGAATCTTCCTGTTCGTCTCCCGCCATATTAAAACAGACTCGTTTGCTATTTCTTTCTCCCTTCTCGTTGTCACTGTCTGGTGGTACTATGCACTCTGATGTCTTACGTTCTAATTTAGGAGAATATGTTATGGAAGACAGAAGGCTGCAATGTGATATTAAAAAAAAAAATAAGTACATGTTTCCAAACTGGCTGCTACAGATAACCTTAACTTGTTGACTATGATAGGCTTAGAAATATTTCTAGAGTATTTGTTTGACATAAAATAAATATTTGATTGCATTACAAAACGGTCATACAAAGTTCACTTTTCCCTCTCAGAATAAGTAATAGAGACAGCATACAATTTAGACTAGAAAACTGTGTTCAAATCCCAGTTCTGCACTTACTATATTTGTTATCATAGCAATACTATGATAATTCTCTTTGACATCTCTGATATGAAGACAATAAGATTGTCTAGCCCATATGATTCTGTGACAATGAAATGAGAATATATTCCAGAGATGTGTTACTTCTGTCCCCTAGTCATTATCACTATGATCTGAAATTACCTGGGAAGCTTTGATGTGCTACCCAAATAGTAAAATAAATACTAAATGTGCTTAAGCCAGCCTCACTGGCTTACCCTCAGGTATTAAAAACCCATCTACCCCTGCCTTGGATTTCTCCCAAGCTGTCTTTATTTGACAGGGAGAATATTGTGACCAATCTTTCTCACTGCTCATAAAAGCAGGTGTTCTGGCCATCATGACCAAAGACGTTAAAGAGAGTCACACACAATGTGAGGATAGGAGGCAGCAGGGGCTACCGCCATATCATCCACAATCTAGTCACAATGGCATGTTGTGAATCTGCCCAAATGAAAAGCTCTTTCACTTGGCTGAAGACTAAAACACAATCTGAATTTCTGAATGGGCATTGCCCTTGATATGGACTTTGAGTAGCATGGATTCCATCACTCCAACCTTGAACGTCTGGCCCGTAAAAGGTTTCTGTTAGTACTAACTCAAATTCATGCAAACGTGGAATTGGTCTTTGCTATCAAATGAAATACTGTAAAACTTGCAGAATGAATTAAACCATATCTTAACAAAGGGCCCTTGCGTGGCTTCTTCAGCCAACAACCACCTTCTCATTTACCAGGTACTGATGACATTCCGTTCTGGTCAACAGCACATATGTACGTATCTCTACACTCATTTTTCCATAGGAGTGTCATGTTTGTTTTACTTCCAGACTACAGGACTGTCTCATACCTCTTATGTGTAATCCATATGTCAAAGCCAATGCTGTGCATCAAGTAAATATTTGTTAAGAGATTTCACTAATTAGTTAATTAGACACATCTATTATTCCATGCATTGTTTTGGTGCTGTGCACACAGGAGTTTACAAAACAAACAAAAGCCCCTGTCCTCTTGGAGCTTAGATTCTACTGGGAGGAAACAAACCATAAACAAGTCAATCGTATAGTATATCACATGGCAACAAATGTTAAGAAGGAAAATAAAGAAGGTAAGGGAGATGGAGCTGCAAATAGTGGAGTCAGGGAAGGTCTCATTGGGAGATAACATTTGAATAATAATATTTTGGCATTTTATACCTTTTAGATATCACTGAAAATAAGGGGGCTGTGTTACATTGCTCGAGGCCCTGTGAAGTTATAAATTATTTTAAGCACAGTTTTTCTATTTGCAGAGATACTTTTATGTCTTGGAAGATAGATGGGTATTTATTTACTCCCTCCGCCCAAAAGCTTAAAACATTAGATTAACTCCAATTACCCAAGCTCTGTACTACACTGACAGATAAACTCTGAATACCAAAGAGGAAGGGCATGCAGGAGTTCTCATTTTTCAAGGAGTACTCTGTGCTTTATGTATCTTTTAAATTAGAAGTCATGGGGCTGCGCATACTCATTTTTTTCAAAGTCAAATGAATTATGTCCACATATTTGCTTTTCATTTTAAACAGCTGCAATCATGCTTGCACTGACCCTGTGGGAACAAGTGTTAGGCTTACAAACAAATGATAGAAAAACAGTGTTTTTTGACACCATGTTTTTGCATAAAATTTCTAGATTCTTAAAAGTAATAGTAATGCATAAAGTTTTATAATATTTGTGCATACAGAAATAGTTTTCTTTCACTTTTGCTCATTTACACTATTTAGCTATCTACTCTAGGACTCAGGATTTTAATTAATTCTCAATTAAAATCTTGAGCAGTCCAATCTCTTCATATCCTTGATGAGTAAATATTTTGTATATAGTATCCTGCATCCACCCGTGTGTCTTTCTATTAAACTGAGACTTAAATATCATCTTTATCATTTTCATCAGACCTAACATTTGTTGAGCCCTTATGCCAGTCACTACACTAAGTACTTAATTCCTAAAACCTCCTTATGAAGTAGGTATGACTATTATTATGGTGATAATCCCCATTTTAGAGACGGTGAGTGAGACACACATGTATAGACATATTTTGTAAAATAATCAGAATATCCCCTCCTTGCCTATAAATTTATACATTCTGGAGGGAGGACAGGCGTCATTGATGTTGTCCACTACCTCCCAGTTCTCCTGCACACACAACTGGGTGGCCTGCCCTACCCCATGAGGGTAAGAATGACCATGTAGCTTATTTTCACCAGGATGACGTAAGCGGAGGTAACTGGAGTCCCTTCTAGGTACAAGTCTTTTAGTAAGTATAAAACCTACCTCATTCCCTCTTACTGATGTGACAATCAGAGACATTCCAGTTGATGGGGGCTTTGTCAGTCTGAACTCTTGAGTGAGGTCAATGTGGGGCAGAAACCCTGTGACCCAGATAGGCATAGAGAATGAGCAAGAGAGAAATCCTGTTGTTTAAAGTCTGTGAGGCTTTAGAGGTTTTGTGAACATAAACCCCAAAACAGCCGTATAGAGAATAGGGTACCTAGAAGAATGAGAGATGTGACTGGGATATAGGAGTATCAACTTCATCCTGGGGAAGTAGGCACCAGATGAAGTGATCTATAGATCACCCATTAGTCTGACACTTGAGAACCTAGAATGACAGCTGCAGACTTCGGGAGCAGTACTGACTGGGCAGAGATTTGTGATATTCTAGAATCAGAAAAAGACTAGTGTGACTGGAGCTCAGAGAAATGAATTTGGAGACAGGGGCAGATTGCACTGGGCCACACAGGGGCAGATTGCATTGGGCCACACAGGCCCCAATAATGTAGCTGATATGATTTCAATGGCATTGCAATGTTATTAAATGGTTTTAAGCAGAATTCTAGCATGATTTACATTTACAGATCCCTCCGGCATCTGCTGAATGTAGAATGCTTTAGAGGGGCACAGCTGGAAAACCCTACAGTGGACACTGGTCGGGGAACAATGGTAACGCAGTCTAACATGACAGAGCAGATATATTCTGAGGTATAGCTGACAAAACTTGATAAGCTACTGGAGGTGAAGGGGCATGAAAGAGAAGAATCAAAGATAATACCCAGACTCTGGCTTGCAGAACTGAAGAGACGAGGAACACTTTACTGAGAAGAAGGAAGATCTACAATTCAGATTTAGGCACAAATTTAAGTTTGAGATTTAATGTGATATGTCCTTGTGTTTCATAACCCACATCACAGAGGGACTGTAGGGATGAAATCAAGCAGTGCATATACTGATAAAATTGTGCCTGGTACATAAGCCCTTTAGTACAAGTTAGTATTTAGGAAGCTGGGCCCTCTTTTCATACATTTACCAGCAAAATGCTTAGGCAAACCTCAAAGATAATTCCACCAACAGCCCTACCATTCCTACTTGTAAGCCCAGCTCACTAAGTGTCCCACAGTGCAGTCTGTTCACCACTTAGTCTGGGGCATCTGGCACCTATAAAATGCAGGCCTGTTCTCCGCTTTCCTATCTTCACTAGCTCCCAGAACTCTATTCATCTCTCTCCTGAGAGAATACACAAAATGCTGTATTTTAAAATCCCATCAATGGTTTTGGATTATCTACAAATTATTTTGCCCTCTACTTATGTCTGGTACCTAACTGTCATTACCCAGAAAATAGCTCATTGAAGGACAAAAGTATTTAGCGTCAATGAGACAGGAAACATAGAATAAATTCATAACATCACCTTATTTCATGTTAGTAGACAACAAATGTGCCTCTAGTCCCACCTTTGGATCTAAAGGAAGTAGAAGCATTTAGTGGAATGCCTATGTGTTAAAGGAAATTTTATTTCTAGGAGAAGTGTTCCCAAGTGGCAGGGTAAACAGATAAGCTCAGTACCAGGCCCTTTCCCAGGAATGAAGGATTTCTAGAAAGGCCAGCAATGCAATGTTGTGAGGCAGTTTCTCTTAAAACTTGGCAAAGTATCTGAGATCTGCTTCTCCACTCTGCAGAGGCATATATGTCTGACCAAGAATAATTACTACATGGTGAGAAAATTGTTTGGTAACTAGCTTTTTAAATAATTTGTCAAGCTCGACTGCACTGCAGCATCTCTGAATGGGGCAATAGGGAATCCAGGCACTTGGACAACGGCACTGTTTTAAAGGGATTATATTGCACATTGAATTATGTGGAACATATTTATATTTAGAACTAAATTATATGGTGCACACAGAGAAGACCAAGGAAGTTTCTCAAATCACTTGTGCATTTCATGTCATTTTCCTAATAAACATGCACAGTAGGGGAAAAGCTTTTAGAATAACAGAGTGGGAAAATCTTAAGTAAAAATAGGTAATTATTTTAAGTAGTTTTGGTTAATAAAAATAGCTTAACTCCTTTCTTCAATGAGTGCTTTAAATATAAAGCATTTTAAGCCAAGTAAAGTACGGAGCTCTTTGGCTCTGTTTTCTTGAAAATATATCTACAATAGCTAAACTTAAAAAAATCAATAAATTAACAAAGACAGACATAGTCTGGACAACTGCCAGGAAGTGCTGAGTAGTCATGCATTAGAGGCCTGGTCTCTGAGGTAGTATCTGCTCAGGCACATCAATAATCCTGCTGTTGGTAAAGGACTCGTCTGAAAAACAGGAATAATAACTCTTCGTCCAACTGGCAGTGTGGGATTGGTCCAGATGTTCTCCTAAAATCCCTCCGGGAGCTAGGATACATGATTCAGTGCCACTATTTATTGCTTTATTAATAAAGATTCTTACTCTGTGCACTTCCTAAATACTTTAGGGAGAAAAAAAAACTGGTTTCTAAAATAGAACATATCATACAATAAAATTCCATTTACTAAATAAAACAAAATATAATGCCCTAAGATATTAACTTATGTGTCACAAGGCCATTCTCAAACAATCCAAAGTATCATACAGTTGCCTAAAAATAGGCACTTTTTCTCTTAGCAACCCAAACTATTTAATTCATCTGTAAATGGGGCAGTCACAATATAATATACTGATGTAATAAACAATTTTTTTAAAAACTAGTGTATTAAAAATAGGAAAACAGAATTTCAAATCTAAATTAACTCATAAAAATGTCAGAACAAATTAGCATAGTAAATAGTAACTATCTAAAGATCGCCTTAGAAATATGATGCATCTAATTGGTGATTTTGATCTCCAAATTTCAAAGATGTGTAAAATAAGAGATTATGCCAATTAAGATTTTATTAGCATAATGTCCAATTACAAAAGAAGGCTTAGTATAAGTTTTAAATATTTTATGTCAAAACTGAATTATCCAGGGAAGTACAGGATGATGTATGTGGGGGGAATTAATACACATCTGGCAGCAATCTAAATGTGTAACTTCATAAAGAGAGTACAATAAAAAGAGGATAATGGTGTCTATACTATTTTCAGATTCTACCAACTTCAGATATATTCACCAATTTCAACCCTTTGAATGATGAGCAAGCACAATGTTAGGCACTGTGCTGGTGTTTTTTATATTAATTCTTGCAGTTTTCACCACAGACTTGTAATTTGTTATTATTCTTCATCCTGTTTAGTACATGAGAGACCAAACTACCCCAAACCCCCATGTTCTTGTGACTATACAGAGTTGCCTTGACTAGCTGTAATATATAATCACACATCATGATGTGGGAAATCATCCCACAGAGTTGAGGCAATTGTCCAACCATCAAAGTTTTAAATAAGAATCAGAGTCAACCTCTTTGGAACCATTTTAATTAACTTCCTCCTCTTCTCCATTCTTGGTAAAAATTTCCAAATGACTGGCACAGCTGTTTGGGTTCTTGTTTAGTAAACCATTAATTCAATCAGAAAAAGAGGGGGTGTCATTGGTCCTAGAGATACATGATTTTGCATTTACTCATTTAACAAGTATATTAAAGATTTGTTACATATTTTTCATATACATCTATTGAGTGTATATACATCAAATACTGTGTTCTGCTGTATAAAGGATACCAGGAAATCTGTATACTTAGTTGGCAATCTTTCAATCATATTTTTTAATTTAATATTTTCACATTGAGACTTTGTGTTTTCTATAGACAGAATTTTGTTGTTCTCTTCCCTGGTATTAAATACTTCCTTAAAATATGTATCTATATATTTGCCACGTTATATCACTTTTGAGGTGCTGAAATGAAGAGCATCTATAGGATTTACATACACCCACAAAATCCTACTTTTCTAAAAATGAAAGAGAGTGATAGATATTCAAAAGCCAGGTTTTCCAGCTATTTTATTAGGCACATTTAAAAGTATAGTAAATAAAAATAAATAAATAAATAAAAGTATAGTAAATAAAATACTTACTCATCAATTTGACAAACACACATTTCCACCTCTTTCAGTGCAGTCTGAAGTTTGCCCAATAGTTTCTGATAAATATCTTGGGTTTCTAGGTCTTCTTCTTTTAACAAGTACCGGAGCCCATGCCCATCCTGTTGTCCCAGAGACAGACCTGAAGGAGCTGCCATGGTTGTGATTGTGTGCTGAATGTACACCATTGGACTCAGTTTCCCTGAGGAGTTAAAATCATTCCAGAATAATATATATGACCTTTAACTTACAGGAATGTTCCAGTGCAATTCATTCTAGACACAGGCTTACATAAAATAAAATGCCAAACCAGTGCTGAATTTAATTCAGGAGTTAAAGCGAGAGAGTTAAAGACAGTTGTGATTAAAATATCTTTCAATCTCATGCTCTACTGTGATGGTGGGGAATGGCATTGTGCATCTCTAAAGCTGCTCCACCTGCATTTTTGTTATAGTTATATAAGGGCCATTTCAGACTACTGGTTTTCACAGCAGGATAAGCAGTGCCCAACATGCATGTAATGAAGGCAAGAACAATCATTCTTCTTAGAGGAAAAAAATAATAAAACTGCAAAACTCCTTTTTTATTCTATAAACATTTACGGATAATTATCCAAATGATTATAAGAGGAATCCTGTCTTTATAAAATTCAGACTTGTTTATACACCAGGAATCTATCCTATTTCAGGGATGCTGGGATAGTTAACAATTGCCTACATTACTCTTCATGATTTGAGAAAGTTTCAAAAGCTAACATACCTTGCTCAGATTTATTTTCTTTATCATGAGAATTATGCTTCCTACTATCCAGCTGAACACCAAATGCACTCCCCAGGGAGGTTGATGTTTTGGGATAGGAAACTTCCATTATGTTGACATGACAGTTGGTAGGGCAGAAATCACTGCTATGTAATGGGGAGATTTTAGATTTGGCCTGTTTAAAGGTGGGCCAGGCTCTATTCTTCAGGACACGTGAAAACTGTAAATTAAAGAAGAAATAAAAACCAGTTGAACACAGTGTTCCTAACTTCCACCATCCATAACAAAATATTAAAAAATAAAATCAGGGATCCCTGGGTGGCGCAGCGGTTTGGCGCCTGCCTTTGGCCCAGGGCGCGATTCTGGAGACCCCGGATCGAATCCCACGTCGGGCTCCCGGTGCATGGAGCCTGCTTCTCCCTCTGCCAATGTCTCTGCCTCTCTCTCTCTCTCTCTCTCTCTCTCTCTCTCTCTGTGACTATCATAAAATAAATAAAAAAATTAAAAAATAAAAAATAAAAAATAAAAAATAAAATCATGTCAACTGGAACAAGTGAAATAAATTATAAGTTGCTGGAAATTAAACCATTATTTTAAAACCCACACATTCTTAATAAAGTAAAGCAATATAGGCAGCAATGCATAGGATTCTTTTGAAACTCTGATTACAAGTTAGATGCTAAAAGAAACAAATTCAAGTGACCAATAGCACTTATTAAAACTCAAATCCCCAGGCTGCTAGCAGCTGAGAGTCTGACAGAGAACTCAAATTGCCATCCTCGGATACAAGAGGGACACACCACTTAAAGTAAGGCAAAGTGGTAGAAGTGGGTAGCTGCCACCGGGTCAAGAGTGGACTATTCTAACCATTGTCAAAAGCCAGTCCAAACCTGAGTCTGTGAACAGGTTAGACAGCAAGGCATGGTGGTGTTGACCCAGAAGGGTAGGACAATGGGCAGAACCAACTGTACTGCCGTGTCTCCTGCGAATCACTGCTGAGCAGTTGGGTCAGGATCAGTCTGAAGACTGGTGTGGACTCAGCTTTTACGCCATTGGAAATAAAGTGATACTCAAGGGATTCACACAACTTCCAAGAATGGCCAATCTACTACTTAGAACCTTGCAATCCAAACCCATCTATTCCTTGTTGTGTGGTCTATATGGCCACCCAAAGTCCGATCTGCACCTAGGTTATTATCTCAAGCTCTCTCTCCCTTGCCCCCTAGGCTTCTTCTTGCCTTCACTCAGATCCTCTCCCATACGGTCTACTCATTCTCGGTCTTTGTACAGGCTTTTTGGTGAGCCTAGAATATTCTTCTTCCCTCATTGCCAAACTTACTTCTATGCATTTTTCAGCTCCTATGAAGTCATCATCAGGCCTACATATGTCTTCATCTAGGTCCAATATCCTTGATTGTGTGCTAGGTTACAGCATATTGTAACCCTTCTTATAATTATGAATTAATTTCTTATCTCTATCTCAGTGGATGATAAATTCCATGCCTTGTGCACCATAAAGAGTCATCTCATAGGGTGGATTATACTTTCAAAGCAAAGGACAAAGAGCCACAAGCTATGTGTGTTTTAGTTATGTTTAGTTTAGCCTATAACGGATATGATGCTGGGCAAGTCACTATCTTTTTACCATCCCTAGTAAAATGAGGAATATGGATGAAATAATCTCTGTGCTGTCTTCTTGCTTGAAAACTGAAAGCAGATTTATTTATTCTACTAGTAGAGTAGTAATTTGGGCACTGAAGGATCAAAATTTAACACTAACATTGGTTACTGTGTAACTTTCCTAGGTTAAATTAAAAAATAAAGATATGATACTAAAAATCACATTTTATAAATATAAGCTCATCATTAGAATATGAACTATGTTACCTGTATATGAAACTGTGCCTTCAAATCACATGTCTGAAGCTATGTAGCTCAGTCAAGTACCAATACACAGTAGGAATCAAAATGAGAGTGGTGGAAATGCAGGGAATTGTCAACAAAATTCCTAACAAATTTGATAATAATATATAGTGATACTATCTGAAACACCTAAAGAGTGGGAGTAATTTAGAGAATTTCTGGTCTATGCCCTTACTTTATAATAAAGAAACTGTGACCTGAAGACTTATCTGGGAAAGACTTAGAATTTAAGGCCAGATGCAAACTTGCACTCAGAAGATCTTTTCCATTGTAGTTGCAGGACAAAACTCTCAGATAAGTCCCCATGGTACAAAGAAAGGCACAGCATTGTGGCATAGCATTGACCACAATAGACAGGTATGCTCCTTTTGCCTTTTTCCATTTTATTTTATTTATTTATTTTAAATAGATTTTTATTTACTTATTTGAGAAAGAGTGTGAGAGAGAGCATGAGGGGAAGGGCAGAGGGAGATAGAGAGAGAAGCAAATTCTCCGCTGAGCAAAGAGCCCAACTTGGGGCTTGATCCCAGGACCCTGAGATCATGACCTGAGCCAAAGGCAGATGCTCAACTCACTTAACAGTCCCCTGCCTTCTTTCATTTTAACTCTTTACATATTTATTCAAACATATAAAGAGAAGCATCTATTCCCAGACTCTGCAGTAAATGCTGGGGATACAGTCCTTGCCCTCATAGAGTACTTAGTCTAGTAGAGGACTCAAATAAAAAAAAAAAAAGAATATTCTTATATATAACAATTATATTACTACAAGTATATGTAATGTGTGTGTGTGTGTATATATATATATACCTGTAACTATGTGCATATGTAACAATTACATAATAATTATAATAGCCAGACAATGAAAAATTTGGTAAATGCTAAGAAGGAAGTGAACAGAGTGATGGGATGAGGTGTTACTAGAGTGATCAGATAGAGAAGGGATAAGATTCCCTCTCCAGTGCGACCAGTTTCCTCTAACTTTCTAACATGTACCTAAATACAAATGCTTATGAACATAGTATGTTCCCTTTCCTCACACACTCAGAACGGTTGTGTGACCATGCTTAAATGTGCTTGACCTCTTTCAGAGAGTGTCAGACAGGAAACTCCTTTGCTAAGGGCCTCTCTTGATGAAGATAGAAGCTGATGAAAGCAGGGCTGTCTTCCTTTCTAGGCTGTCTCTAGGAAAGGGGGAGGTGAAGGAAGGACCATAGTCATGGGTCCTGGAAATGTGATGAATACATTTTATAGATCAAAAAATGTACTCCTAGACAGCATGCCCACATGTTTAATTGGGACACCCTTCTGTAACGCAAACCTAAAATGAGGTAGGTACAGTTCTTGACTGTAGCACATGCATAAGAACAGGCCGCGGTCAGGCCATCCAGTAGCAATGGCCCTGCCAACATGAACCTGGCATCTTTCTTAGAAACATCAAAGACAACACTGAGTTCACTAATCTGCTTTGGAGATGCTCACAAAGAAAGACCAAAAAAGCTATTTTCCATAAACAAAAATTTTGATTTTGTGATAAAGAAATGTATAGGGTGTGGGGGAAGGTGAGTTGGGACACACAGCACTTTAAACCTATTTTGGATAGTGTAGCCCAAACTTACTCCACTTTTATTCATCCATCCAACAATTACACATTGAGGGCTTTCTAAACCAGGCACTGTTCTAGGCATGCTGGGAAACATCAGTGAGTGAAACAGATTTCTGCCTTCTGGGAGGTTATGTTCTAGTGAGAGGAGAGGCCAACAATAAACATAAGTCAATTATATTATCCTAGAAGATGATAAGTACAGTTGAAAACAAAATGGAGCAGGAAAAGAGGGCTGAGAGTTTCAGTGGTGAGGTGAAGAATGCATTGCCAATTATAACCCTCATTGAGAGGTTGACATTTAAGCAAAATTTTGAAGGAAGGGAGAGTTGGGAATGCGGGTACAAGAAGAAAAAGCTTTCCCAGCAGAGTGAACATCCAATGCAAAAACCCCAAGGATAGTATGCTTCAATGAACATCTAGTGTGGCCAAAGCAGAGAGTGAGGGGAAAGGGGAAGAACATGGGAGTGGGGAAATTATGGGTAGAAGGAAGGCACAGATCAAATAGGAGCTCAGAGACCTTTGGAACGATTTAGCTCTTACTGTGATTGAGATTCACAGCCTTTCAGAATAGACTGTTGGTGGGCAAGGATGGACGCAGGAAGACCACTTGTGGGAGAGACAATGCTGGGTCACCCTAGGGTATGTGTAATCGGAGCGATGAGAAAAGGCTGCATGTTGTGAAGGTAGAGCCAAGAGAATGGTATGTGGGAGCCAGGAGTAAAAAATGCACGAAAGCTTTTCAGACTGATCAATGCACAGGATGGGTCTCATCCTAAGGTAGAGATGACAACAGATATGACAACTGTAGAAGGGCAGGATCAGGAGTTTATTTTGGACACATGAAGTCTGAGGTATCTATTAGACACAAATGAAGAGGTCACATGGGCCAGGAGATTGAATGTGATCACTACAGGATGAACCGTGGAGGGAGGAAAGGGGACAGAGCAAATCCTGAGTTCTGATGCATGAAGAGGTCAGAGAAAAAAGAAGAAACAAGCATAGGACATCATTGTGACTGAGCCTCTCAGAAAAGGCAAAATCAAGCAAAAGTAAAAAATTTCTAAAGAGAGGTACAAGGTCAACTGCATAGATGCCACTAAAACAAGGAATATGATGATGACAGTTAATGAGTTTTGAAAAAATATAGGTCATCAGTGACCTTAAAAGAGCCATTCCAGGGCAGCTCAGGTGGCTCAGAGGTTTAGCACCACCTTCAGCCTAGGGCGTGATCCTGGAGACCCGGGATGGAGTCCCACCTCGGGCTCCCTGCATGGAGTCTGCTTCTCCCTCTGCCTGTGTCTCTGCCTCTCTCTCTGTCTCTGTCTCTCCTAACATGCACTTAGGTTATTATCTCTGTCTCTGTCTCTCATGAATAAATAAATAAAATCTAAAAAAAAAAAAAGTAATTCTAGTTACATGGGGGGGGGTGGTACTTGAGCCCATCTTGAGTGTGTTAAGAATGAAAGGTGAGTGAGATAGCAGGTATAGACGGCATATGGGGAGCTCTTTTCGGGACAGAGTTCAAGAAATGAAACAGTAGGTAGAGGAAAGTATGGGGGAATCAAGGGAAATAGTGATTTTTAATCTAGATGACATTAAAGCATATTTGTACATTGACATAAGTAATTCTTAGAAATGGAGCTGCAGGCTTCTAATGCATTGGTAGTTAATTCATGAATTATTAACCATGA